GACCCCTGACCCCTGGCTAGGTTTGGTGACCCCTGGCTAGGTTTGGTGACCCCCTGGCTAGGGTTGGTGACCCCTGACCCCTGGCTAGGTTTGGTGACCCCTGGCTAGGTTTGGTGACCCCCTGGCTAGGTTTGGTGACCCCTGGCTAGGTTTGGTGACCCCTGACCCCTGGCTAGGTTTGGTGACCCCTGGCTAGGTTTGGTGACCCCCTGGCTAGGTTTGGTGACCCCTGACCCCTGGCTAGGTTTGGTGACCCCTGGCTAGGTTTGGTGACCCCCTGGCTAGGTTTGGTGACCCCTGGCTAGGTTCGGTGACCCCTGGCTAGGTTTGGTGACCCCTGGCTAGGTTTGGTGACCCCCTGGCTAGGTTTGGTGACCCCTGACCCCTGGCTAGGTTTGGTGACCCCTGGCTAGGTTTGGTGACCCCTGGCTAGGTTTGGTGACCCCTGGCTAGGTTTGGTGACCCCTGACCCCTGGCTAGGTTTGGTGACCCCTGGCTAGGTTTGGTGACCCCCTGGCTAGGTTTGGTGACCCCCTGGCTAGGGTTGCGCGTCCGCGTTGAGGGACAGTCGCCCGCGAGGAGAACAGAAAGAGGAGAAGCCGCCGAAACGATGGCCAGAAACTAGGGGGAGGGAGGGGGCTAGGGAGGGAGGGGGGAGGGAGGGGGCTAGGGAGGGAGGGGGGGGGGCTAGGGAGGGAGGGGGGGACTAGGGAGGGGGCTAGGGAGGGGGGGGAGGAAGGGAGGGAGGAAGGGGGATAGGGAGGGAGGGGGGCTAGGGAGGGAGGGGAGAGGGGAGGGGAGGGGGCTAGGGAGGGAGGGGGGGCTAGGGAGGGAGGAGGCTAGGGAGGGAGGGGGGGAGGGAGGGAGGGAGGGAGGGAGGGGGCTAGGGAGGGAGGGGGGGACTAGGGAGGGAGGGAGGAGGGAGGGAGGGGGGTAGTGAGGGAGTGAAGAGGTAGCGGGCTAGGTAGCTAGCGAGTGAAGAGGTAGCGGGCTAGGTAGCTAGTGAGTGAAGAGGTAGCGGGCTAGGGAGTGAGTGAAGAGGTAGCGGGCTAGGTAGCTAGCGAGTGAAGAGGTAGCGGGCTAGGTAGCTAGCGAGTGAAGAGGTAGCGGGCTAGGTAGCTAGTGAGTGAAGAGGTAGCGGGCTAGGGAGTGAGTGAAGAGGTAGCGGGCTAGGTAGCTAGTGAGTGAAGAGGTAGCGGGCTAGGTAGCTAGTGAGTGAAGAGGTAGCGGGCTAGGTAGCTAGTGAGTGAAGAGGTAGCGGGCTAGGTAGCTAGTGAGTGAAGAGGTAGCGGGCTAGGGAGTGAGTGAAGAGGTAGCGGGCTAGGTAGCTAGTGAGTGAAGAGGTAGCGGGCTAGGTAGCTAGTGAGTGAAGAGGTAGCGGGCTAGTGAGGGAGTGAAGAGGTAGCGGGCTAGGTAGCTAGTGAGTGAAGAGGTAGCGGGCTAGTGAGGGAGTGAAGAGGTAGCGGGCTAGGTAGCTAGTGAGTGAAGAGGTAGCGGGCTAGGGAGTGAGTGAAGAGGTAGCGGGCTAGGTAGCTAGTGAGTGAAGAGGTAGCGGGCTAGGTAGCTAGTGAGTGAAGAGGTAGCGGGCTAGGGAGTGAGTGAAGAGGTAGCGGGCTAGGTAGCTAGTGAGTGAAGAGGTAGCGGGCTAGGTAGCTAGTGAGTGAAGAGGTAGCGGGCTAGTGAGGGAGTGAAGAGGTAGCGGGCTAGGTAGCTAGTGAGTGAAGAGGTAGCGGGCTAGTGAGGGAGTGAAGAGGTAGCGGGCTAGGTAGCTAGTGAGTGAAGAGGTAGCGGGCTAGGGAGTGAGTGAAGAGGTAGCGGGCTAGGTAGCTAGTGAGTGAAGAGGTAGCGGGCTAGGTAGCTAGTGAGTGAAGAGGTAGCGGGCTAGGGAGTGAGTGAAGAGGTAGCGGGCTAGGTAGCTAGCGAGTGAAGAGGTAGCGGGCTAGGTAGCTAGCGAGTGAAGAGGTAGCGGGCTAGGTAGCTAGCGAGTGAAGAGGTAGCGGGCTAGGTAGCTAGTGAGTGAAGAGGTAGCGGGCTAGGGAGTGAGTGAAGAGGTAGCGGGCTAGGTAGCTAGTGAGTGAAGAGGTAGCGGGCTAGGTAGCTAGTGAGTGAAGAGGTAGCGGGCTAGGTAGCTAGTGAGTGAAGAGGTAGCGGGCTAGTGAGGGAGTGAAGAGGTAGCGGGCTAGGTAGCTAGTGAGTGAAGAGGTAGCGGGCTAGGTAGCTAGTGAGTGAAGAGGTAGCGGGCTAGGTAGCTAGCGAGTGAAGAGGTAGCGGGCTAGGTAGCTAGTGAGTGAAGAGGTAGCGGGCTAGGGAGTGAGTGAAGAGGTAGCGGGCTAGGTAGCTAGTGAGTGAAGAGGTAGCGGGCTAGGTAGCTAGTGAGTGAAGAGGTAGCGGGCTAGTGAGGGAGTGAAGAGGTAGCGTGCTAGGTAGCTAGTGAGTGAAGAGGTAGCGGGCTAGGTAGCTAGTGAGTGAAGAGGTAGCGGGCTAGGTAGCTAGTGAGTGAAGAGGTAGCGGGCTAGGTAGCTAGCGAGTGAAGAGGTAGCGGGCTAGGTAGCTAGCGAGTGAAGAGGTAGCGGGCTAGGGAGTGAGTGAAGAGGTAGCGGGCTAGGTAGCTAGTGAGTGAAGAGGTAGCGGGCTAGGTAGCTAGTGAGTGAAGAGGTAGCGGGCTAGGTAGCTAGTGAGTGAAGAGGTAGCGGGCTAGTGAGGGAGTGAAGAGGTAGCGGGCTAGGTAGCTAGCGAGTGAAGAGGTAGCGGGCTAGGTAGCTAGCGAGTGAAGAGGTAGCGGGCTAGGTAGCTAGCGAGTGAAGAGGTAGCGGGCTAGGTAGCTAGTGAGTGAAGAGGTAGCGGGCTAGGTAGCTAGTGAGTGAAGAGGTAGCGGGCTAGGTAGCTAGCGAGTGAAGAGGTAGCGGGCTAGGTAGCTAGCGAGTGAAGAGGTAGCGGGCTAGGTAGCTAGTGAGTGAAGAGGTAGCGGGCTAGGGAGTGAGTGAAGAGGTAGCGGGCTAGGTAGCTAGTGAGTGAAGAGGTAGCGGGCTAGGTAGCTAGTGAGTGAAGAGGTAGCGGGCTAGTGAGGGAGTGAAGAGGTAGCGGGCTAGGTAGCTAGTGAGTGAAGAGGTAGCGGGCTAGTGAGGGAGTGAAGAGGTAGCGGGCTAGGTAGCTAGTGAGTGAAGAGGTAGCGGGCTAGGTAGCTAGTGAGTGAAGAGGTAGCGGGCTAGGTAGCTAGTGAGTGAAGAGGGTAGCGGGCTAGGTAGCTAGCGAGTGAAGAGGTAGCGGGCTAGGTAGCTAGCGAGTGAAGAGGTAGCGGGCTAGGTAGCTAGTGAGTGAAGAGGTAGCGGGCTAGGTAGCTAGTGAGTGAAGAGGTAGCGGGCTAGGTAGCTAGTGAGTGAAGAGGTAGCGGGCTAGGTAGCTAGCGAGTGAAGAGGTAGCGGGCTAGGTAGCTAGCGAGTGAAGAGGTAGCGGGCTAGGTAGCTAGTGAGTGAAGAGGTAGCGGGCTAGTGAGGGAGTGAAGAGGTAGCGGGCTAGGTAGCTAGTGAGTGAAGAGGTAGCGGGCTAGGTAGCTAGTGAGTGAAGAGGTAGCGGGCTAGGTAGCTAGTGAGTGAAGAGGTAGCGGGCTAGGTAGCTAGCGAGTGAAGAGGTAGCGGGCTCGGTAGCTAGCGAGTGAAGAGGTAGCGGGCTAGGTAGCTAGCGAGTGAAGAGGTAGCGGGCTAGGTAGCTAGTGAGTGAAGAGGTAGCGGGCTAGGTAGCTAGTGAGTGAAGAGGTAGCGGGCTAGGTAGCTAGCGAGTGAAGAGGTAGCGGGCTAGGGAGTGAGTGAAGAGGTAGCGGGCTAGGTAGCTAGGGAGTGAAGAGGTAGCGGGCTAGGTAGCTAGTGAGTGAAGAGGTAGGGGGCTAGGTAGCTAGTGAGTTAAGAGGTAGCGGGCTAGTGAGGGAGTGAAGAGGTAGCGGGCTAGGTAGCTAGCGAGTGAAGAGGTAGCGGGCTAGGTAGCTAGCGAGTGAAGAGGTAGCGGGCTAGGTAGCTAGCGAGTGAAGAGGTAGCGGGCTAGGTAGCTAGTGAGTGAAGAGGTAGCGGGCTAGGTAGCTAGTGAGTGAAGAGGTAGCGGGCTAGGTAGCTAGCGAGTGAAGAGGTAGCGGGCTAGGTAGCTAGCGAGTGAAGAGGTAGCGGGCTAGGTAGCTAGTGAGTGAAGAGGTAGCGGGCTAGGGAGTGAGTGAAGAGGTAGCGGGCTAGGTAGCTAGTGAGTGAAGAGGTAGCGGGCTAGGTAGCTAGTGAGTGAAGAGGTAGCGGGCTAGGGAGGGAGTGAAGAGGTAGCGGGCTAGGTAGCTAGTGAGTGAAGAGGTAGCGGGCTAGTGAGGGAGTGAAGAGGTAGCGGGCTAGGTAGCTAGTGAGTGAAGAGGTAGCGGGCTAGGTAGCTAGTGAGTGAAGAGGTAGCGGGCTAGGTAGCTAGTGAGTGAAGAGGTAGCGGGCTAGGTAGCTAGCGAGTGAAGAGGTAGCGGGCTAGGTAGCTAGCGAGTGAAGAGGTAGCGGGCTAGGTAGCTAGCGAGTGAAGAGGTAGCGGGCTAGGTAGCTAGTGAGTGAAGAGGTAGCGGGCTAGGTAGCTAGCGAGTGAAGAGGTAGCGGGCTAGGGAGTGAGTGAAGAGGTAGCGGGCTAGGTAGCTAGTGAGTGAAGAGGTAGCGGGCTAGGTAGCTAGTGAGTGAAGAGGTAGCGGGCTAGGTAGCTAGTGAGTGAAGAGGTAGCGGGCTAGTGAGGGAGTGAAGAGGTAGCGGGCTAGGTAGCTAGTGAGGGAGTGAAGAGGTAGCGGGCTAGGTAGCTAGTGAGTGAAGAGGTAGCGGGCTAGGTAGCTAGTGAGTGAAGAGGTAGCGGGCTAGGTAGCTAGTGAGTGAAGAGGTAGCGGGCTAGGTAGCTAGTGAGTGAAGAGGTAGCGGGCTAGCTAGTGAGTGAAGAGGTAGCGGGCTAGGTAGCTAGTGAGTGAAGAGGTAGCGGGCTAGGTAGCTAGTGAGTGAAGAGGTAGCGGGCTAGCTAGTGAGTGAAGAGGTAGTGGGCTAGGTAGCTAGTGAGTGAAGAGGTAGCGGGCTAGCTAGTGAGTGAAGAGGTAGCGGGCTAGGTAGCTAGTGAGTGAAGAGGTAGCGGGCTAGGTAGCTAGTGAGGGAGTGAAGAGGTAGCGGGCTAGGTAGCTAGTGAGTGAAGAGGTAGCGGGCTAGGTAGCTAGTGAGTGAAGAGGTAGCGGGCTAGTGAGGGAGTGAAGAGGTAGCGGGCTAGGTAGCTAGTGAGGGAGTGAAGAGGTAGCGGGCTAGGTAGCTAGTGAGTGAAGAGGTAGCGGGCTAGCTAGTGAGTGAAGAGGTAGCGGGCTAGGTAGCTAGTGAGTGAAGAGGTAGCGGGCTAGGTAGCTAGTGAGTGAAGAGGTAGCGGGCTAGCTAGTGAGTGAAGAGGTAGCGGGCTAGGTAGCTAGTGAGTGAAGAGGTAGCGGGCTAGGTAGCTAGTGAGTGAAGAGGTAGCGGGCTAGGTAGCTAGTGAGTGAAGAGGTAGCGGGCTAGCTAGTGAGTGAAGAGGTAGTGGGCTAGGTAGCTAGTGAGTGAAGAGGTAGCGGGCTAGGTAGCTAGTGAGTGAAGAGGTAGCGGGCTAGGTAGCTAGTGAGTGAAGAGGTAGCGGGCTAGGTAGCTAGTGAGGGAGTGAAGAGGTAGCGGGCTAGGTAGCTAGTGAGTGAAGAGGTAGCGGGCTAGTGAGGGAGTGAAGAGGTAGCGGGCTAGGTAGCTAGTGAGTGAAGAGGTAGCGGGCTAGGTAGCTAGTGAGTGAAGAGGTAGCGGGCTAGGTAGCTAGTGAGTGAAGAGGTAGCGGGCTAGGTAGCTAGTGAGTGAAGAGGTAGCGGGCTAGGTAGCTAGTGAGTGAAGAGGTAGCGGGCTAGGTAGCTAGTGAGTGAAGAGGTAGCGGGCGAGGGAGTGAGTGAAGAGGTGGCTAGGTAGGTAGTGAGGTAGTGAGGATGTGCAGGACGAGAGGAGGTACCCAGGGCGAGGTTAGCGAGCACCATGGCGATGCTGACTGGCGAGATGACGATGTTGGTGGTGGGTGGCAGGGCGCTGTCCAGCACGCGGAACAGGCTGAGGCCTAGCTCCAAGATGGCCTCCACGACACGCTCCACCTCCTGGGGGCTGGGCGCTAGTGAGACGTCACAGGGGGCCTCTGGCGGAGGGGAGGGGCGGCAGGGGGGTGGGGGGAGGGGGAGTGGTGGGTCTACGGGTCTCTGTGTGGTGAGTCTATGGGTCTCTGTGTGGTGAGTCTATGGGTGGTGAGTCTGTGGGTCTCTGTGTGGTGAGTCTGTGGGTCTCTGTGTGGTGAGTCTATGGGTGGTGAGTCTATGGGTCTCTGTGTGGTGAGTCTTTGGGTGCTGAGTCTGTGGGTATCTGTGTGGTGAGTCTACGGGTCTCTCTGTGGTGAGTCTATGGGTGGTGAGTCTATGGGTCTCTGTGTGGTGAGTCTATGGGTGGTGAGTCTATGGGTCTCTGTGTGGTGAGTCTATGGGTGGTGAGTCTATGGGTCTCTGTGTGGTGAGTCTATGGGTGGTGAGTCTATGGGTCTCTGTGTGGTGAGTCTATGGGTCTCTGTGTGGTGAGTCTATGGGTCTCTGTGTGGTGAGTCTATGGGTCTCTGTGTGGTGAGTCTGTGGGTCTCTGTGTGGTGAGTCTACGGGTCTCTGTGTGGTGAGTCTATGGGTGGTGGGTCTACGGGTCTCTGTGTGGTGAGTCTGTGGGTCTCTGTGTGGTGAGTCTATGGGTCTCTGTGTGGTGAGTCTGTAGGTCTCTGTGTGGTGAGTCTGTAGGTCTCCGTGTGGTGAGTCTGTGGTTGGTGAGCCTCTGTGTGGTGAGTCTATGAGTCTCTGTGTGATGAGTCTGTGGGTCTCTGTGTGGTGAGTCTGTGGGTCTCTGTGTGGTGAGTCTACGGGTCTCTGTGTGGTGAATCTATGGGTCTCTGTGTGGTGAGTCTATGGGTCTCTGTGTGGTGAGTCTATGGGTCTCTGTATGGTGAGTCTATGGGTGGTGAGTCTATGGGTCTCTGTGTGGTGAGTCTATGGGTGGTGAGTCTATGGGTCTCTGTGTGGTGAGTCTATGGGTGGTGAGTCTATGGGTCTCTGTGTGGTGAGTCTATGGGTCTCTGTGTGGTGAGTCTATGGGTGGTGGGTCTACGGGTCTCTGTGTGGTGAGTCTGTGGGTCTCTGTGTGGTGAGTCTGTGGGTCTCTGTGTGGTGAGTCTGTGGGTCTCTGTGTGGTGAGTCTATGGGTCTCTGTGTGATGAGTCTATGGGTCTCTGTGTGGTGAGTCTGTGGGTCTCTGTCTGGTGAGTCTATGGGTCTCAGTGTGGTGAGTCTATGGTCTCTGTCTGGTGAGTCTGTGGGTCTCTATGTGGTGTGTCTATGGGTCTCTGTGTGGTGAGTCTGTGGGTCTCTGTATGGTGAGTCTATGGGTCTCTGTGTGGTGAGTCTATGGGTCTCTGTGTGGTGAGTCTATGGGTCTCTGTGTGGTGAGTCTGTGGGTCTCTGTGTAGTGAGTCTATGGGTCTCTGTGTGGTGAGTCTGTGGGTCTTTGTGTGGTGAGTCTGTGGGTCTCTGTGTGGTGAGTCTGTGGGTCTCTGTGTGGTGAGTCATGGGGTCTCTGTGTGGTGAGTCTGTGGGTCTCTGTGTGGTGAGTCTATGGGTCTTTGTGTGGTGAGTCTTTGGGGTCTCTGTGTTGTGAGTCTATGGGTCTCTGTGTGGTGAGTCTGTGGGTCTCTGTGTGGTGAGTCTGTGGGTCTCTGTGTGGTGAGTCTGTGGGTCTCTTTGTGGTGAGTCTCTGGGTCTCTGTGTGATGAGTCTGTGGGTCTCTGTGTGGTGAGTCTATGGGTGGTGAGTCTGTGGGTCTCTGTGTGGTGAGTCTACGGGTCTCTGTGTGGTGAGTCTATGGGTCTCTGTGTGGTGAGTCTATGGGTCTCTGTGTGGTGAGTCTGTGGGTCTCTGTGTGGTGAGTCTATGGGTCTCTGTATGGTGAGTCTATGGGTGGTGAGTCTATGGGTCTCTGTGTGGTGAGTCTATGGGTGGTGAGTCTATGGGTCTCTGTGTGGTGAGTCTATGGGTGGTGAGTCTATGGGTCTCTGTGTGGTGAGTCTATGGGTCACTGTGTGGTGAGTCTATGGGTGGTGGGTCTACGGGTCTCTGTGTGGTGAGTCTGTGGGTCTCTGTGTGGTGAGTCTGTGGGTCTCTGTGTGGTGAGTCTGTGGGTCTCTGTGTGGTGAGTCTATGGGTCTCTGTGTGATGAGTCTATGGGTCTCTGTGTGGTGAGTCTGTGGGTCTCTGTCTGGTGAGTCTATGGGTCTCAGTGTGGTGAGTCTATGGTCTCTGTCTGGTGAGTCTGTGGGTCTCTATGTGGTGTGTCTATGGGTCTCTGTGTGGTGAGTCTGTGGGTCTCTGTGTGGTGAGTCTATGGGTCTCTGTGTGGTGAGTCTATGGGTCTCTGTGTGGTGAGTCTATGGGTCTCTGTGTGGTGAGTCTGTGGGTATCTGTGTGGTGAGTCTATGGGTCTCTGTGTAGTGAGTCTATGGGTCTCTGTGTGGTGAGTCTGTGGGTCTCTGTGTGGTGAGTCTGTGGGTCTCTGTGTGGTGAGTCTGTGGGTCTCTGTGTGGTGAGTCATGGGGTCTCTGTGTGGTGAGTCTGTGGGTCTCTGTGTGGTGAGTCTACGGGTCTCTGTGTGGTGAGTCTATGGGTCTCTGTGTGGTGAGTCTATGGGTCTCTGTGTGGTGAGTCTATGGGTCTCTGTATGGTGAGTCTATGGGTGGTGAGTCTATGGGTCTCTGTGTGGTGAGTCTATGGGTGGTGAGTCTATGGGTCTCTGTGTGGTGAGTCTATGAGTGGTGAGTCTATGGGTCTCTGTGTGGTGAGTCTATGGGTCACTGTGTGGTGAGTCTATGGGTGGTGGGTCTACGGGTCTCTGTGTGGTGAGTCTGTGGGTCTCTGTGTGGTGAGTCTGTGGCTCTCTGTGTGGTGAGTCTGTGGGTCTCTGTGTGGTGAGTCTGTGGGTCTCTGTGGTGAGTCTATGGGTCTCTGTGTGGTGAGTCTGTGGGTCTCTGTCTGGTGAGTCTATGGGTCTCAGTGTGGTAAGTCTATGGTCTCTGTCTGGTGAGTCTGTGGGTCTCTATGTGGTGTGTCTATGGGTCTCTGTGTGGTGAGTCTGTGGATCTCTGTGTGGTGAGTCTATGGGTCTCTGTGTGGTGAGTCTATGGGTCTCTGTGTGGTGAGTCTATGGGTCTCTGTGTGGTGAGTCTGTGGGTATCTGTGTGGTGAGTCTATGGGTCTCTGTGTAGTGAGTCTATGGGTCTCTGTGTGGTGAGTCTGTGGGTCTCTGTGTGGTGAGTCTGTGGGTCTCTGTGTGGTGAGTCTGTGGGTCTCTGTGTGGTGAGTCATGGGGTCTCTGTGTGGCGAGTCTGTGGGTCTCTGTGTGGTGAGTCTATGGGTCTTTGTGTGGTGAGTCTTTGGGGTCTCTGTGTTGTGAGTCTATGGGTCTCTGTGTGGTGAGTCTGTGGGTCTCTGTGTGGTGAGTCTGTGGGTCTCTGTGTGGTGAGTCTGTGGGTCTCTGTGTGGTGAGTCTATGGGTCTCTGTGTGGTGAGTCTATGGGTCTCTGTGTGGTGAGTCTGTGGGTCTCTGTGTGGTGAGTCTATGGGTCTCTGTGTGGTGAATCTATGGGTCTCTGTGTGGTGAGTCTATGGGTGTAGTGAACAAAGGCCTACAGCCCTGCTAGAGGCTACCTGGGGTAGCTTTGTCTGTGTGTGGTGTGTGTAGTACATAGACACTGCTGCTGCTACTCGCAAGCTAACAGCACTTGCCCCTACAGCCCTGTTAGAGGCTACCTGGGGGAGCTTTGTCTGTGTGTGGTGTGTGTAGTACATAGACACTGCTGATGCTACTCGCCAGCTAACAGCACTTGCACCTACAGCCCTGCTAGAGACTACCTGGGGTAGCTTTGTCTGTGTGTGGTGTGTGTAGTACATAGACACTGCTGATGCTACTCGCCAGCTAACAGCACTTGCACCTACAGCCCTGCTAGAGGCTACCTGGGGTAGCTTTGTCTGTGTGTGGTGTGTGTAGTACATAGACACTGCTGCTGCCACTCGCTAGCTAACAGCACTTGCCCCTACAGCCCTGCTAGAGGCTACCTGGGGGAGCTTTGTCTGTGCCTCTGAACGGTCCGTGGGTTTTGCGGGCGTCATCCTCCTGGGGAAATAGAGAAGAAAGTTGATAGAACTTCAACCTAGACAGCTGAGACACCGAGACACTGAGACACCGAGACACGGTCTCAGTGTCTCAGTTTCTAGACACTGAGACACGGTCTCAGCTGTCTAGACACTGAGACACGGTTTCAGTGTCTCAGTTTCTAGACACTGAGACACTGAGACACGGTCTCCACTGTCTAGACACTGAGACACGGTTTCAGTGTCTAGACAGCTGAGACACTGAGACACGTTTTCAGTGTCTCAGTGTCTCAGTGTCTAGACACTGAAACACTGTCTCCACTGTCTAGACACTGAGACAGCTGAGACACCGAGACACTGAGACAGCTGAGATACCGAGACACGGTCTCAGTGTCTCAGTGTCTCAGCTGTCTATACACTGAGACACTGAGACACGGTCTCAGCTGTCTAGACACTGAGACACGGTCTCAGTGTCTAGACAGCTGAGACACTGAGACACGTGTCTAAGCTGTCTAGACAGTGGAGACACGTGTCTCAGTGTCTAGACACTGAGACACGGTCTCAGCTGTCGAGACACTGAGACAGCTGAGACACCGAGACACGGTTTCAGTGTCTCAGTTTCTAGACACTGAGGCACTGAGACACTGAGATACCGTCTCCACTGTCTAGACTCTGAGACACGTGTCTCAGCTGTCTAGACATTGAGACACTGAGACACTGAGACACGGTCTCAGCTGTCTAGACACTGAGACACTGAGACACTAGACACTGAGACACGGTCTCAGTGTCTAGACAGCTGAGACCGTGTCTCAGTGTCTCAGTGTCTCAGTGTCTCAGCTGTCTAGACAGCTGAGACCGTCACGTGTCTCGGACACGTGTCTCAGTGTCTAGATACTGAGTCACCGAGACACTGAGACAGCTGAGACACCGAGACACGGTCTCAGTGTCTCAGTTTCTAGACACTGAGACACTGAGACACGGGCTCCACTGTCTAGACACTGAGACACGGTTTCAGTGTCGAGACAGCTGAGACCGTGTCTCAGTGTCTCAGTGTCTCAGTGTCTCAGCTGTCTAGACACTGAGACACGGTCTCAGCTGTCTAGACACTGAGACACTGAGACACTGAGACACGGTCTCAGCTGTCTAGACACTGAGACAGTGTCTCAGCTGTCTAGACACTGAGACACTGAGACACTGAGACACGGTCTCAGCTGTCTAGACACTGAGACACTGAGACACGGTCTCAGCTGTCTAGACACTGAGACACCGAGACACTGAGACAGCTGAGACACCGAGACACGGTCTCAGTGTCTCAGTTTCTAGACACTGAGACACTGAGACACGGTCTCAGCTGTCTAGACACTGAGACACGTGTCTCCACTGTCTAGACACTGAGACAGTGTCTCAGGAGTTGCCTGAGACAAGGCCTCAAGATGTTGAATCGGCTTCGTCACCTTTGCGAATCGTCCACTGTCCTTGGTCGCATGCAGGCAGCCAATCACGGCGCTCAGCAGCAGGCAGCGAAGAGCCCAATGCATTCTGGGGGACGGAAGAAACGCCACGTGGTAAGCCATTGTGACGGTCGGTGACGTCATCGGTGACGTCATCGGTGACATCGCCTACGTCATCGCCTACGTCTTCGTCGTCATGGTCACCACCATTAACACCACAAATACCACCACCACCATCACCACCACCACCATCATCACCACCATCATCCCCACCACCATCACCACCATCACCACCACCATCACCACCACCATCATCACCATCACCACCACCATCACCACCATCACCACCACCATCACCACCACCATCACCACCACCATCACCATCACCACCACCATCATCACCATCACCACCACCATCACCACCACCATCACCACCATTACCACCACCATCATCACCATCACCACCACCATCACCACCATCACCACCATCACCACCACCATCACCACCATCACCACCACCACCATTACCACCACCACCACAACCATCACCACCACTACCTTCATCTACACCATCACCACCACCACCACGTCCATCACCACCACCACCATCGATCGGAGACCCCCAGGAACAGCTTTGGATCACCGTTGGATCACCGTTCTTTCCCCTAAGCATGGTGATAGGTGTTACTTCAGAGCGATTTGTGATCGCGGGCCACTTAGGCAGACTCCATCTCCTCAGCAACCCGCGACCACCACCCATCCTTGCAGCGCCTCACGGCTCTCCGAACCTCCGAGCGAAGGCTGCGGTAAGCCTCCTCATTCTCTGACGTGGGATGCTGTAGCCGATGACAGTGGGCCTGTCGCTTTTTCTCAGCCATCCTGAACAACTCCTCTGTCAGCCAGGGTCTCTGGGGAGGTCTGGACCGCGTACCCAAAGCAGCCAATGCAGCTGCATGAGTCACAGTCCTAAACCTCGCCCATTTACCCTCGACATCAGGAGGAGTGGGGGACGATGCCAACCCCAGCCGCAAGCGATGATGAAATTCTCGCTTGCAACTTTCATCAGCTAGCTGAGACCAGGCCACTTTAGGTTGGAATGGGGTCCTGGGTGTACACCCACCACCGGAGTGGAAGAATGGCAGGCGCATCTTACAGATGACTAGTCGATGGTCAGTGGGCAGATCAGCTCCATAACCACCACCACAACCACCACCATCACCAACACCATCGCCACCATCATCACCAACACCACCATCACCTCCATCACCACCACCATCACCGCCACCACCATCATCACCAACACCACCACCAACACCACCTCCATCACCAACACCACCACCACCACCATCATCACCACCACCATCAACACCACCACCACCATCACCACCGTCATCACTACCATCACCTCCATCGCCACCACCTCCATCACCACCACCGTCACCACCATCAGCACCATCATCACCACCACCATCACCACCTCCATCACCTCCATCGCCACCACCTCCATCGCCACCACCTCCATCACCACCACCGTCACCACCACCATCACCACCACCACCATCACCACCATCACCACCATCACCACCATCACCACCACCTCCACCATCACCACCACCATCACCGCCATCACCACCACCATCACCACCACCATCACCACCACCACCATCACCACCATCACCACCACCATCACCACCATCACCACCACCATCACCACCATCAACACCACCACCACCATCACCACCATCATCACTACCATCACCTCCATCGCCACCACCTCCATCACCACCACCGTCACCACCATCACCACCATCATCACCACCACCATCACCACCTCCATCACCTCCATCGCCACCACCTCCATCGCCACCACCTCCATCACCACCACCGTCACCACCACCACCATCACCACCACCATCACCACCACCATCACCACCACCATCACCAACACCATCACCACCATCACCACCACCATCACCACCACCATCACCACCGTGTAAATCATTGTCGTGATGTTGACTCTCCCTGTACACAGACTTACCCCGCGGTATTTAAAGAGTCAACAGTGGGGGGTGGGGGGGTGGAACCTCGCTGAACCCCACGGGGCCACCCTTCAAAATAAAAGTCCCCCCCAACCCCTAAGGACCCCCCCCTCTCTCGCTCAACCCCACGGGGCCACCCTTCAAAATAAAAGCCCCCCCCCCCAACCCCTAAGGACCCCCCTCCCCTCTCGCTCAACCCCACGGGGCCACCCTTCAAAATAAAAGTCCCCCCCAACCCCTAAGGACCCCCCTCGTTGTTTAAAGAGTCAAGGGTGGCTGATATCATCATCATCAATGACCACGTGGGAATTTCTAGCCACAGCCAAATCCTCTAAACGAAGAGAGACACACAGAGACCCAGTGATTAATAGAGATTCCTAGAGATCAATGGAGATGCATAGAGACCCATGTAGACACACAGAGACCCATAGAGACCCATAGAGGCATACAGATCAGTAAAGATGCATAGAGACCCATGTCGACACACAGAGACCCATAGAGACACACAGATCAATAGAGATGCATAGAGACCCATGTAGACACACAGAGATCCATGTAGACACACAGAGACCCATAGAGACCCATAGAGACACTGAGACTAATAGTGATGCATAGAGACTCATGTAGACACACAGAGACCCATAGAGACACAGATTAATAGAGATGCATAGAGACCCACAGAGACCCACAGAGACTCATAGACACACAGAGACCCACACTCACAGAGACCCACAGAGACCCACACCCACAGAGACCCACACTCACAGAGACCCACAGAGACCCACACTAACAGAGACTCACAGAGACCCACACTCACAGAGACCCACACTCACAGAGACCCACAGAGACCCACACTAACAGAGACCCACAGAGACCCACACTCACAGAGACCCATACTCACAGAGACCCACAGAGACCCACACTCACAGAGACCCACAGAGACCCACACTAACAGAGACCCACAGAGACCCACACTAACAGAGACTCACAGAGACCCACACTCACAGAGACCCACACTAACAGACACCCACAGAGACCCATACTCACAGAGACCCACAGAGACTCACACTAACAGAGACCCACACTCACAGAGACCCACAGGCGAGGTAGTCAACATCTCCTAGCCACTGTGGTTACACAGGATCTAACCACGACCTCCTGTATACCAGGCGAGGTAGTCAACATCTCCTAGCCACTGTGGTGTCAGGATCTAACCCACGACTTCCTGTAGACCAGGCGACATCTCGCCACGGCATTTGTAATCACTGAGGCTCACAGAGCCAGACTAAGACTCCCTCCCATATGGTTCAGTTATTAATCACTGAGGCTCACAGAGCCAGACTAAGGCTCCCTCCCATAGAGTTCAGTGTTAATCACTGAGGCTCACAGAGCCAGACTAAGACTCCCTCCCATAGGGTTCAGTTATTAATCACTGAGGCTCACAGAGCCAGACTAAGACTCCCTCCCATAGGGTTCAGTCTTAATCACTGAGGCTCACAGAACCAGACTAAGGCTCCCTCCCATAGGGTTCAGTGTTAATCACTGAGGCTCACGGAGCCAGGCTAAGGCTCCCTCAAGGTTCAGTGTTAACCACTGAGGCTCACAGAGCCAGACTAAGGCTCCCTCCCATAGGGTTCAGTTATTAATCACTGAGGCTCACAGAGCCAGACTAAGGCTCCCTCCCATTGAGTTCAGTTCTTAATCACTGAGGCTCAGAGAGCCAGACTAAGGCTCTCTCCCATAGAGTTCAGTGTTAATCACTGAGGCTCACAGAGCCAGACTAAGGCTCCCTCCCATAGGGTTCAGTGTTAATCACTGAGGCTCACAGAGCCAGACTAAGGCTCCCTCCCAAAGGGTTCAGTGTTAATCAGTGAGACTCCCATAGGGTGCAGTGTTAATCACCGAGACTCCCATAGGGTTCAGTGTTATCACTGAGTCTCCCACAGGGTTCAGTGTTAATCACTGAGACTCCCATAGGGTTCGTTGTTAATCACCGAGACTCCCATAGGGTTCAGTGTTAATCACTGAGACTCCCATAGGGTTCAATGTTAATCACCGAGACTCCCATAGGATTCAGTGTTAATCACTGAGACTCCCATAGGGTTCAGTGTTATCACTGAGTCTCCCACAGGGTTCAGTGTTAATCACTGAGACTCCCATAGGGTTCAGTGTTAATCACTGAGACTCCCATAGGGTGCAGTGTTAATCACTGAGTCTCCCATAGGGTTCAGTGTTAATCACTGAGACTCCCATAGGGTTCAGTGTTAATCACTGAGACTCCCATAGGGTTCACTGTTAATCACTGAGACTCCCATAGGGTTCAGTGTTAATCACTGAGACTCCCACAGGGTTCAGTGTTAATCACTGAGACTCCCATAGGGTTCAGTGTTAATCACTGAGACTCCCATAGGGTGCAGTGTTAATCACTGAGTCTCCCATAGGGTTCAGTGTTAATCACTGAGACTCCCATAGGGTTCAGTGTTAATCACTGAGACTCCCATAGGGTTCACTGTTAATCACTGAGACTCCCATAGGGTTCAGTGTTAATCACCGAGACTCCCATAGGGTTCAGTGTTAATCACTGAGTCTCCCATAGGGTTCAGTGTTAATCACCGAGACTCCCATAGGGTTCAGTGTTAATCACTGAGTCTCCCATAGGGTTCAGTGTTAATCACTGAGTCTCCCATAGGGTTCAGTGTTAATCACTGAGACTCCCATAGGGTTCAATGTTAATCACCGAGACTCCCATAGGGTTCAGTGTTAATCACTGAGACTCCCATAGGGTTCAGTGTTAATCACTGAGACTCCCATAGGGTTCAGTGTTAATCACTGAGACTCCCATAGGGTTCAGTGTTAATCACTGAGACTCCCATAGGGTGCAGTGTTAATCACCGAGACTCCCATAGGGTTCAGTGTTAATCACTGAGACTCCCATAGGGTTCAGTGTTAATCACCGAGACTCCCATAGGGTTCAGTGTTCATCACCGAGACTCCCATAGGGTTCAGTGTTCATCACCGAGACTCCCATAGGGTTCAGTGTTCATCACCGAGACTCCCATAGGGTTCAGTGTTAATCACTGAGACTCCCACAGGGTTCAGTGTTAATCACCGAGACTCCCATAGGGTTCAGTGTTCATCACTGAGACTCCCATAGGGTTCAGTGTTAATCACTGAGACTCCCATAGGGTTCAGTGTTAATCACTGAGACTCCCATAGGGTTCAGTGTTAATCACTGAGACTCCCATAGGGTTCAGTGTTAATCACTGAGACTCCCATAGGGTTCAGTGTTAATCACCGAAACTCCCATAGGGTTCAGTGTTAATCACTGAGACTCCCATAGGGTTCCGTGTTAATCACTGAGACTCCCATAGGGTTCAGTGTTAATCACTGAGACTCCCATAGGGTTCAGTGTTAATCACTGAGACTCCCATAGGGTTCAGTGTTAATCACTGAGACTCCCATAGGGTTCAGTGTTAATCACTGAGACTCCCATAGGGTTCACTGTTAATCACTGAGACTCCCATAGGGTTCAGTGTTAATCACTGAGACTCCCATAGGGTTCAGTGTTAATCACTGAGACTCCCATAGGGTTCAGTGGTAATCACTGAGACTCCCATAGGGTTCAGTGTTAATCACTGAGACTCCCATAGGGTTCACTGTTAATCACTGAGACTCCCATAGGGTTCACTGTTAATCACTGAGACTCCCATAGGGTTCAGTGTTAATCACCGAGACTCCCATAGGGTTCAGTGTTAATCACTGAGTCTCCCATAGGGTTCAGTGTTAATCACCGAGACTCCCATAGAGTTCAGTGTTAATCACTGAGTCTCCCATAGGGTTCAGTGTTAATCACTGAGACTCCCATAGGGTTCAATGTTAATCACCGAGACTCCCATAGTGTTCAGTGTTAATCACTGAGACTCCCATAGGGTTCAGTGTTAATCATTGAGGCTCACATAGGGTTCAGTGTTAATCACTGAGACTCCCATAGGGTTCAGTGTTAATCACTGAGACTCCCATAGGGTTCAGTGTTAATCACCGAGACTCCCATAGGGTTCAGTGTTAATCACTGAGACTCCCATAGGGTTCAGTGTTAATCACCGAGACTCCCATAGGGTTCAGTGTTAATCACTGAGACTCCCATAGGGTTCAGTGTTCATCACCGAGACTCCCATAGGGTTCAGTGTTCATCACCGAGACTCCCATAGGGTTCAGTGTTAATCACTGAGACTCCCACAGGGTTCAGTGTTAATCACCGAGACTCCCATAGGGTTCAGTGTTCATCACCGAGACTCCCATAGGGTTCAGTGTTAATCACTGAGACTCCCATAGGGTTCAGTGTTAATCACTGAGACTCCCATAGGGTTCAGTGTTAATCACTGAGACTCCCATAGGGTTCAGTGTTAATCACTGAGACTCCCATAGGGTTCAGTGTTAATCACCGAGACTCCCATAGGGTTCAGTGTTAATCACTGAGACTCCCATAGGGTTCCGTGTTAATCACTGAGACTCCCATAGGGTTCAGTGTTAATCACTGAGACTCCCATAGGGTTCAGTGTTAATCACTGAGACTCCCACAGGGTTCAGTGTTAATCACTGAGGCTCACATAGGGTTCAGTGTTAATCACTGATACTCCCATAGGGTTCAGTGTTAATCACCGAGACTCCCATAGGGTTCAGTGTTAATCACTGAGACTCCCATAGGGTTCCGTGTTAATCACTGAGACTCCCATAGGGTTCAGTGTTAATCACTGAGACTCCCACAGGGTTCAGTGTTAATCACTGAGGCTCACATAGGGTTCAGTGTTAATCACTGATACTCCCATAGGGTTCAGTGTTCATCACCGAGACTCCCATAGGGTTCAGTGTTAATCACTGAGACTCCCACAGGGTTCAGTGTTAATCACCGAGACTCCCATAGGGTTCAGTGTTCATCACCGAGACTCCCATAGGGTTCAGTGTTAATCACTGAGACTCCCATAGGGTTCAGTGTTAATCACTGAGACTCCCATAGGGTTCAGTGTTAATCACTGAGACTCCCATAGGGTTCAGTGTTAATCACTGAGACTCCCATAGGGTTCAGTGTTAATCACCGAGACTCCCATAGGGTTCAGTGTTAATCACTGAGACTCCCATAGGGTTCCGTGTTAATCACTGAGACTCCCATAGGGTTCAGTGTTAATCACTGAGACTCCCATAGGGTTCAGTGTTAATCACTGAGACTCCCACAGGGTTCAGTGTTAATCACTGAGGCTCACATAGGGTTCAGTGTTAATCACTGATACTCCCATAGGGTTCAGTGTTAATCACCGAGACTCCCATAGGGTTCAGTGTTAATCACTGAGACTCCCATAGGGTTCCGTGTTAATCACTGAGACTCCCATAGGGTTCAGTGTTAATCACTGAGACTCCCACAGGGTTCAGTGTTAATCACTGAGGCTCACATAGGGTTCAGTGTTAATCACTGATACTCCCATAGGGTTCAGTGTTAATCACCGAGACTCCCATAGGGTTCAGTGTTAATCACTGAGACTCCCATAGGATTCCGTGTTAATCACTGAGACTCCCATAGGGTTCAGTGTTAATCACCGAGACTCCCATAGGGTTCAGTGTTAATCACTGAGACTCCCATAGGGTTCAGTGTTAATCACTGAGACTCCCACAGGGTTCAGTGTTAATCACCGAGACTCCCATAGGGTTCAGTGTTAATCACTGAGACTCCCATAGGGTTCCGTGTTAATCACTGAGACTCCCATAGGGTTCAGTGTTAATCACTGAGACTCCCACTGGGTTCAGTGTTAATCACTGAGACTCCCATAGGGTTCAGTGTTAATCACTGAGACTCCCATAGGGTTCCGTGTTAATCACTGAGACTCCCATAGGGTTCAGTGTTAATCACTGAGACTCCCATAGGGTTCAGTGTTAATCACTGAGACTCCCATAGGGTTCAGTGTTAATCACTGAGACTCCCATAGGGTTCAGTGTTAATCACTGAGACTCCCATAGGGTTCAGTGTTAATCACTGAGACTCCCATAGGGTTCAGTGTTAATCACTGAGACTCCCATAGGGTTCAGTGTTAATCACTGAGACTCCCATAGGGTTCAGTGTTAATCACTGAGACTCCCATAGGGTTCAGTGTTAATCACTGAGGCTCACAGAGCCAGGCTCTCACCTGGCGGTGGTGGAGGACTTCTTTCGCACCGTACCCGAGCCAGCCAGCGGCAGGCGATGGTCACTGAGTGCGTTGGGGAGTCTCGCTCGGTCTATGCGGTGGGTAGGGGGACAGCTCGCGACTTTAACTGCGTGGGGGGAGAGGTGTGGGGGGAGTGGGGGGGAGGGGGGGGGCAGGGAGGGTGGGGGGGCAGGGAGGGTGGGGGGAGAGAGATAGGGGAAGGGAAAGTGGGGAGAGAGGGGGGAGAGTGGGGGTTCAATGTTAATCATTGAGGCTTACGGAGCCAGATTAACATTGAACCCTGCGGGAGTCTCGGTGATTAACATTGAACCCTGTGGGAGTCTCGGTGATTAACACTGAACCCTATGGGAGTCTCAGTGATTAACATTGAACCCTGCGGGAGTCTCAGTGATTAACACTGAACCCTGTGGGAGTCTCAGTGATTAACACTGAACCCTGTGGGAGTCTCAGTGATTAACACTGAACCCTATGGGAGTCTCAGTGATTAACACTGAACCCTGTGGGAGTCTCAGTGATTAACACTGAACCCTGTGGGAGTCTCGGTGATTAACACTGAACCCTATGGGAGTCTCAGTGATTAACACTGAACTCTATGGGAGTCTCAGTGATTAACATTGAACCCTGTGGGAGTCTCAGTGATTAACACTGAACCCTATGGGAGTCTCAGTGATTAACATTGAACCCTGCGGGAGTCTCGGTGATTAACATTGAACCCTGTGGGAGTCTCGGTGATTAACACTGAACCCTATGGGAGTCTCAGTGATTAACATTGAACCCTGCGGGAGTCTCGGTGATTAACACTGAACCCTATGGGAGTCTCAGTGATTAACACTGAACCCTATGGGAGTCTCAGTGATTAACACTGAACCCTATGGGAGGGAGTCTTAGTCTGGCTCTGTGAGCCTCAGTGATTAACACTGAACCCTATGGGAGGGAGCCTTAGTCTGGCTCTGTGAGTCTCAGTGATTAACACTGAACCCTATGGGAGGGAGCCTTAGTCTGGCTCTGTGAGCCTCAGTGATTAACACTGAACCCTATGGGAGGGAGCCTTAGTCTGGCTCTGTGAGCCTCAGTGATTAACACTGAACCTTATGGGAGTCTCAGTGATTAACACTGAACCCTATGGGAGACTCGGTGATTAACACTGATCCCTATGGGAGTCTCAGTGATTAACACTGAACCCTATGGGAGACTCGGTGATTAACACTGAACCCTATGGGAGTCTCAGTGATTAACACTGAACCCTATGGGAGGGAGCCTTAGTCTGGCTCTGTGAGCCTCAGTGATTAAGAACTGAATTCTCATGCGATCAGGGTTCATTCAGTGTTATCAGTGCAGCGGCTCAGTTGAGGAGGGAGGGAGGGAGGAGAGGGAAGGGGAGGGAGGGAGGGATGGAGGGGAGGGAGGGAGGGATGGAGGGGAGGGAGGAGAGGGAGGGATGGAGGGGAGGGAGGGAGGGGAGGGAGGGAGCTAGGGAGGGAGGGGAGGGAGCTAGGGAGGGAGGGAGAGGAGGGAGGGAGGGAGGGAAGGGGAGGGAGGAGCTAGGGAGGGAGGGAGAGGAGGGAGGGAGAGCAGAGAGGGGAGGGAAGGAGGGGAGGGATGGAGGGGAGGGAGGGATGGAGGGGAGTGAGGGAGGGAGGGGAGGGAGGTAGGGAGGGAGGGGTGTGGGTTTACCTCTGGCTACAAACATTTAGTCATCATGGAGAAAGATTTCCCGGCAATCCTTCATGTAGCGTGTAACCATTAACGATCGTGTTTGTCTGTGTGTGTGTCTGTGTGTGTGTCTGTGTGTGTCTGTCTGTGTGTGTGTGTCTGTGTGTGTGTGTCTGTGTGTGTGTGTCTGTGTGTGTGTCTGTGTGTGTCTGTGTGTGTGTCTGTGTGTGTGTCTGCGGCAAAAACAACCCCCTATCTCCCCGTGGTGCCGGACAGGCAACGTTATCGTGGACAGTGCTGTGGGGGGGAGGGCCAATTCCGATTGGCCTTTTCCCTTCGGGGCGTTTGTGACCACCACAGCGGCTAAATGGGGGCTCTGGAAGGGTGCGAGGGAAAATATCTAATTAATAAGCTTGTGTCAGAGACTCCAGGGGGACAGGCGTCTATGACGTCTCCTGGCCAAACCCCATTTGGCGGAGCCAGGAGATTAAATCTCTACCTTCGGGGCTCCTCCAGAAACAACGAAAAGCCACTTCGTGTGGCCACGTGGAATGTTCGAACGCTCACTGCGGAGGAGAGGCTGCCGCTCCTCTGTCGGAAGCTGGACCGGTACCGCCTGGATCTCTGCGGCATTCAGGAGGTCCGGTGGACCGGCCCTGGCTCCTGCCACCATGAGGGGTGGACGGTCCTCTACTCGGGGCAGCAGACTGCCAAACAACAGGGTGTGGCTCTTCTTCGGAACAAAAGAATGAAGGGGGCGTGGGAGCGTGACGGTGAGGTGTGGGAAGCTGTAAGCCCCAGGCTACTTTGGGCTCGCCTTCCCATCAACCGGAGGCGAGGAGTGGTGGTCGTGGTTACTTATGCCCCCAGCGAAGACGAACATCCGTGGAGGGATGGAGGCAAGGCCGATGAGTCAGATGCCTTCTATGACCTCCTGTCACAGGTGCTGGCTAAAGTGGCCCCTCGGGATAGAGTCATCTTGTTGGGTGACTTCAATGCCCGAGTTGGTCATAATGCAAGCACCTTGTCTGGAATGATTGGAAGGCATGGGCCAGATCAGCTCAATAACAACTATAGGAGGCTGACAACAGGACCTACCGTGGAGCTGATCTACTCTCTGACCATCGACTAGTCATCTGTAAGATGTGCCTGCCATTCTTCCACTCCGGTGGTGGGTGTACAGTCAGGACCCCATTCAAACCTAAGGTGGCCTGGTCTCAGCTAGCTGATGAAAGTTGCAAGCGAGAATTTCATCATCGCTTGCAACTGGGGTTGGCATCGTCCGCCACTCCTCCTGATGTCGAGGGTAAATGGGCGAGGTTTAGGACTGTGACTCATGCGGCTGCAATGGCTGCTTTGGGTACGCGGTCCAGACCTCCCCAGAGACCCTGGCTGACAGAGGAGGTGTTCAGGATAGTTGAGATAAAGCGACAGGCCCAATATCATCGGCTACAGAATCCCACGTCAGAGAATGAGGAGGCTTACCGCAGCCTTCGCTCGGAGGTTCGGAGAGCCGTGAGGCGCTGCAAGGATGGGTGGTGGTCGCGGGTTGCTGAGGAGATGGAGTCTACCTCAGTGGCCCGCGATCACAAATCTCTATTTAAAAGTACCCTGCAGCGCCACACCTATTACCATCATGAGGGGAAAAATCGGTGATCCAATCTCCAACCCCCAGAAACAGGTTTGCAGATTGCTGAGCATTTCTGTGAGGTCCTGGTGGAGGGGAAATTCCTCAGCCAGGAAAATATCGTGGCACAAAGTGGGGATGAACCTGCTGAGGCTACGGTGCCTCAAATATTGGAAGAGGAAGTCACCCCCTGTGAGTGGCTGTCTGAGGTGCCATCTGTTGAGGAAGTACTGAAGGTGATCCAGAGTCTGAGACCAGGAAAGGCACCGGGCAGAGATGATCTCCCAAGCGAAATGTTGAGGGAGGGTGGCGTTTGTGCACAGACTGCCCTATATGACATCATAACAACAGTCTGGACCACTGGACAGGTTCCGCAGGACTGGAAGGATGCCCTGGTGGTCCCCATCTTTAAGATGGGAGACCGCACAGACTGTAACAACTACAGGGGCATCTCATTCCTCAGTGTGACAGGAAAGGTCCTGGCAAGGATTATTCAACACTGCCTTGCCAGGCATGCTGAGGAGAGGCTTGCTGAGCCCCAATGCGGTTTCAGGAAAGGGCGGTTCTGCAGAGATGCCATATTTTCCTTCCGTTTGGTACAGCAGAGGTGTAGGTAATTCCAACAAGACCTACATCTCTGCTTTTTTGACCTGGTCAAGGCCTATGATACCATCAGTAGGCCTGGGCTCTGGGTTGTTCTTCGTGCTTTTGGAGTCCCTGACCCGCTGCTCATGATCATTAAGGACCTTCATGATGGTGAGCGGTCACGGGTAAAACTATGTGGCTGGGAGTCGGAGCCATTCCTGGTTCACCTTGGGGTGTGACAGGGATGTCCTCTGGATCCAACATTTTTTAACATCTATTTCAACCACGTAGTTCGTGAAGCCTTCAGTAGCTGTATCGGAGGAATTTCCATCTGGTACAGATACAATGGGAGGCTGATCGATGCCCGGGTGCGGTCAAGGGATGGCTCCCTATTGGTCAACCACGTTATGTATGCCGATGACCTGGTAATTGCGGCTCACTCAGAGAAGGAGTTGGAGGCGCTGTTGCGGAAACTGGAGCGTGCCACTAAGAGGTGGGGCCTCACCATCAGCCCCACCAAAACGAAGCACCTGCTTGGGTATTTTGTACCATCGGACACTCCACTCCCACAACTCCCAATCGCTGATGTGGCAGTTGTGGAGAGAGTGGAAAATTTCCCATACCTGGGCAGTGTGCTCATGACCGGCTCCGGTTTAACAGCAGAGGTCTCACTCCGAATCAGTCGAGCGGCATTATCTTTTCATCGGTTGCGTAACGCTGTGTGGAAGCTACCTGGTCTATTACTCCGCATGAAGCTTCAGGTCTTCTCGGCCACGGTCATTCCCTCCCTTCTCTATGCTTGCGAAACGTGGGCACCCTTAATGGAACATCTTCACCGGTTAGATACATTTAGGCTGGCCTGCCTACGATCCATCCTGGGTTTGACAAAGCTGGATTTTGTGAGGAGCTCACAAATCCTTGAAAGATGTGGACAAAGTTCCATCGGTGAGCTCCTCCGGCAGGCAAGGCTGCGTTGGCTGGGTCATGTAGCCCGCATGCCCAGCCACCACATGCCTAAACAGCTTTTGTTCGGCCAGATCGAGGGGGCTAAGCGGGCGCGGCACGGGCTAGAGAAGAGATGGAGTGATGTGGTACAGAAGGACGTGGAGCTGAGTGGACTTGCCGATGACCGGTACCAGCGGTGTCAAATCGGCCTCTGTGGAGGAGGCTCGTGAAGGATGCTACTGGGCAGTTGGAGGCTGTCGCCCTCCAACAACAACGGAGGGCGGAGGAGCGACGCTCACAACAATGAGCGGAGCGCCGCGTGGCACAGCAGGTTGGCACAGGAGGGGGCACAGGTGGTGCATCAGCCAGTCGTCTCAGTCAGTGGACCCGTGGCACCTGGGTCTGCCCCGTGACCTCCTGCCAGCAGGTTTCGACACTTCATGTGGCCTCAAGGTGCACATGGCCTGGCACAAGCGTCGTGGAATGCTATTGCCAATAAACTGCAACTTGAATCACTACTTATGAGTCCTTCACTCAAAACTGCTCTAGAGGAGTTGTACACCCCTAGCTGCCACTGCTATTCAGTGGCCTAAAATAAAATAAAATGTTTCGCTCCGGATGACCGTTGCAAAGTATAATCTGTGTTTTGATTTAGCGTGCTGATCTTAAAGGTGCATTGAAAAATGTGATACTCCGACTGACGCTCCTGTTGTTGTGGAGCAACTCATGCAGCCAGCTATGGCTCTAGGGTTTGGTGTTACATGTTATTAATGTCGTTTTTTGTTAAAAATTCGGTCACAGTCCCCATGATCACTGTTACATTGCTTTTATGGATTTATTTTGGTGATTTCGAAAAGTTGTTTTGGTTTGGCCATGTTTTTGTTTATTGCAGTACGGAGTTAGACTGATGGCCTTAATCTTAGTTGTCTTGTGGTTGTTGTTGTAGTACGGAGTTAGACTGATGGCCTTAATATAAAGTTGTCTTGTGGTTGTTGTTGTAGTACGGAGTTTAGACTGATGGCCTTAATCTAAAGTTGTCTTGTTGTGGTTGTTGTAGTACGGAGTTAGACTGATGGCCTTAATCTTAGTTGTCTTGTGGTTGTTGTTGTTGTAGTAACGGAGTTAGACTGATGGCCTTAATCTTAGTTGTCTTGTGGTTGTTGTTGTTGTTTGGCTTGCATCCCACTGGGATTTTTGCACACAGCGTTGGTGTACGGTGCTTTTTCTGGAATTTTTTGATGTTTTTTTTTCCTGGATTTTCTGTTTGCACAGTCACACAAAGTCACTTTAAGATACTCTTTGGTTCTATTCGGTAAAGTCACCACGTAGGTAAAAAAATAAAATAACCAAAATCACGACGTTTCGGCCACAACACAAGTGGCCTTCATCAGGTGAAGGGACCGTGCTGTCATGAGGACAGCGTTGGAGTGAAAACAGCCAAGCCCAGGTCGCGTCCTTTGAGCTGTGTGGGAGGAAGCAAAACGCTTTGACAAAGGAATTAACATAAACATGAGCATGATGTACATAGGAGGTGCATGGGCCATGATGTTTCTTATGTTTTAGTTTTTGTTTGTTTGTTGCGGTTTCACCCGATTCAAGAGCCGAATGGCTCACAGGGCTATACCATAAAATAAATAAAACTGTGGTGACGTCACCGCCAGTTTGGTGGCGAATGGCGGTTGTTTTTGTTGTGGGTGTGGTCTAGCGTGTGTGGGTGTGGTCTAGCGTGTGTGGGTGTGGTCTAGCGTGTGTGGGTGTGGTCTAGCGTGTGTGGGTGGGGCTGTCGCGCGTGTGCTGCGCGCTGATTGGTGGCGGGCGGCGGCGGTTGGCGGCTGCGGTATGGCGGCCAATTTCGCGTTTCGTAATTGCCAACGCCAACCGCGACCGAACGGAAGCGGCCGTTCGCCCCCCCCCGCCGCCGCCGCATCGCGACCCGTCGACGTCTCGCGCCAACCTCTGGTGGGAATTCTCCTCACGCGAAGCCGGTGGTGACGGGTTCTTGTTTGTTTCGTTTTAAGTTTTAAACAACGAAAAGCAACAAACAGCGCAACAGCAACAACAACAACAACAAGCGACGTTTTACATTACACACAGACTTCGACATGGCCAAGGGTAAGTCTGTCGCTTGTTATATTTTGAATTTAAAGTTTTTAATAAATAAAAAAAAGTCCGCGGACGGCATACGTGGCCTGGTCGGACCACGGCCTCGCCTGGATTCTCCCGCCGGCCTCGAGGCGACCTCGCCCGGGTGCGGCAGCCCTCGCCGCCGCCGCCGCAGCCTCGGTCGGGGTATTTTTTTCTTTTCAGGAAGTTGTTTATTTATCTTTGTTTCGTTTGTCGAGCGTACAACGGAGGTGGTTGGTAACGCGAGCGTCGTGGTCTCTCCGCTGCTGGATGGAGATAGGTTTAGTTGGTTGGTGGTGGTGATTCATAATAAAGGTTTTTGGGTTAAATCGCGTTAATTTATAAATGTGTCGTAACCCTCCACCACCCGACACGGCCAATCAGCAAAAAAAAGTGTCACGTTGACAAAAGACAAATTAGTTCACTACTTTAGCCCACCGGTGTGTTGAAGAGTGAATCCACAACATTTACAGTTTGAGTAGTACGACGTTTCGCTGGTAAATACTTCCAGCATCATCGGGCAATTCGCCAGAATGGCAAAGCCCTCACTTGCTCCCGGTTTTAAAAAAAAAGTGTCAACGTGACACTTTTTTTTGCTGATTGGCCGTGTCGGGTGGTGGAGGGTTACGACACATTTATAAATAAAAGCGATATAACCCAAAAACCTTTATTATGAATAATATTGGTCGCGAAAGCCTACGTGTTAAACTGGTGGTGGTGATGTTGGTGGTGGTCTCTAAGCCAGCGTACTCCTCCTCTCTGTCGATGTATCATCACCGTGGTGTATCCACTGCTGGATGAAGATCATTGTGGTGGTGATGTCTCTAACTCCTTGTGATCTCTAAGCCAGAGTATTCCTCTATTGTCGATGTATCATCACCGTGGTCTATCCACTGCTGGATGGAGATCATTGTGGTGGTGATGTCTCTAACTCCTTGTGATCTCTAAGCCAGAGTATTCCTCTATTGTCGATGTATCATCACCGTGGTCTATCCACTGCTGGATGGAGATCATTGTGGTGATGTCTCCTGTAACTGCTTGTGTGTGATCTCTAAGCCAGCTTATTCCTCTATTGTCGATGTATCATCACCGTGGTCTATCCACTGCTGGATGGAGATCATTGTGGTGATGATGTCTCTAACTCCTTGCGTGTGATCACTAAGCCAGCTTATTCCTCTCTTGTCGATGTATCATCACCGTGGTTTATCCACTGCTGGATGGAGATCATTGTGGTGGTGGTGTCTCTAACTCCTTGTGTGTGATCTCTAAGCCAGAGTATTCCTCTATTGTCGATGTATCATCACCGTGGTCTATCCACTGCTGGATGGAGATCATTGTGGTGGTGATGTCACCTCTAACTCCTTGTGTGTGATCTCTAAGCCAGCTTATTCCTCTATTGTCGATGTATCATCACCGTGGTCTATCCACTGCTGGATGAAGATAATTGTGGTGATGATGTCTCTAACTCCTTGTGATCTCTAAGCCAGCGTATTCCTCTCTTGTCGATGTATCATCACCGTGGTCTATCCACTGCTGGATGGAGATCACTGTGGTGATGATGTCTCTAACTCCTTGTGATCTCTAAGCCAGCGTACTCCTCTCTGTCGATGTATCATCACCGTGGTGTATCCACTGCTGGATGGAGATCATTGTGGTGATGATGTCTCCTGTAACTGCTTAAGTGTGTGATCTCTAAGCCAGAGTATTTCTCTATTGTCGATGTATCATCACCGTGGTCTATCCACTGCTGGATGAAGATCATTGTGGTGGTGATGTCTCCTCTAACGCCTTGCGTGTGATCTCTAAGCCAGAGTATTCCTCTCTTGTCGATGTATCATCACCGTGGTCTATCCACTGCTGGATGGAGATCATTGTGGTGGTGATGTCACCTCTAACTCCTTGTGTGTGATCTCTAAGCCAGCTTATTCCTCTATTGTCGATGTATCATCACCGTGGTCTATCCACTGCTGGATGGAGATCATTGTGGTGGTGTCTCCTGTAACTGCTTGTGTGTGATCTCTAAGCCAGCGTACTCCTCTCTGTCGATGTATCATCACCGTGGTCTATCCACTGCTGGATGGAGATCACTGTGGTGGTGATGTCTCCTGTAACTGCTTGTGTGTGATCTCTAAGCCAGAGTATTCCTCTCTTGTCGATGTATCATCACCGTGGTCTATCCACTGCTGGATGGAGATCACTGTGGTGGTGATGTCTCTTAACTCCTTGTGATCTCTAAGCCAGAGTATTCCTCTCTTGTCGATGTATCATCACCGTGGTCTATCCACTGCTGGATGGAGATCATTGTGGTGATGATGTCTCTAACTCCTTGTGATCTCTAAGCCAGAGTATTACTCTCTGTCGATGTATCATCACCGTGGTCTATCCACTGCTGGATGGAGATCGATTTGGTGGTGTTTTAGTGAGTTTTTAGAGGGACTTGGTTTGGCCCGATTTTTTTGATTTACCATAGATTTACACTTAAAATTTCGATCCGTATTGCATTACGATTGTTATTGGGATCAAACATGGAAATGGAATGTTTTTGTACGTAGTAGCATGGACGGGTTGTGATTTTTTTCCGTGGGATTTCACCGTTTACATACGTGGCGTTTAGATTTGTGTACAATGAATTTGAGGTGCATCTTGTGATGTTATTATTATTGTTTGTTGCAGTTGAACCCAAATCAAGAGGTGAATGGCTCACGGGGTAAATCCTAATAAATTAAACTGAAAACTCGTGGTGGCGATGGCGGTGGTGATGTTTCTAGCACCTGTTGTCTGATCTCTCAGTCACGTATTCCTCTCTGTCTTAGTGTAATCCACCGTGGTCTCTCCGCTGCTAGATGAAGATCAATGTGGTGGTGGTGTCGTCTCCTCTAGACCCCTGTGTGGGTGTGTGTGTGTCACTGTGTGTGTGGGGAGCGGTAGTGTAGCGGTTAGCGCTACGCTGCGCTATGAACCCGGCGACCCGGGTTCGATTCCCGCTCACGGCCAACACCAGTGACGATTGTCTGAACTGGTCCCGGGCCTCCGCTAGGTCGACTCAGCCTCAAATGAGTACCCTGGTGCAGCGATGTGTAAACATCGCCGCTGGGGAGACAAAGGCGGTCGGGCGTGGTGCTGGCCACCCACCCCCTCGTGTGCCGTTACCGGCCTTCATAGGTGCTCGCTAACAGCACTTGCCCCTACAGTCTGTTACAGGCTACACGGGGGACCTTTGTCCATGTTTGTGTGGGGGTGGGTGGGGGAGGACCCATTCCAAGAATGAATAATTTTCTACGCCCGCTCATCTCGTTACTTGACCGGCACTTCCGCTTCACGATGCAGAGTTGCCCCCAAACACTTTTGAATGCCGTGGTTCTGTTGAACTCTTTCGAACCAGGTGAGGGAGATGCCTCTGAGCTGCTGTGTCAGCTCTTTGCGCAGACGAGCGACGCACCAAGTGGCCGATATCATCGTCGTCATCATCACCGTGCGGGGATTTCTAGCAGGAGACCAATACTCTCAAGGCATAGAGACACTGAGACACAGATTCCTAGAGACCCACGCTCATTGAGGCCCGTACCAAAACTAAACAATGTTTATGTTACCAGCCGTGTAAGGCCCCTATGAGCTACTGTGTAGGTCTTCGACGTGGCCTAGCGCACGTGACGATAGCAGCTCACACCAAGTGGCCGATATCATCGTCGTCATCATCACCGTGCGGGGATTTCTAGCAGCAGACCAATACTCTCAAGGCATAGAGACACTGAGACACAGATTCCTAGAGACCCACGCTCATTGAGGCCCGTACCAAAACTAAACGATGTTTATGTTACCAGCTAAGGCCCCTATGAGCTACTGTGTAGGTCTTCGACGTGGCCTAGCGCACGTGACGATAGCAGCTCACACCAAGTGGCTGATATCATCATCGTCATCATCACCGTGCAGGGATTTCTAGCAGCAGACCAATACTCTCAAGGCATAGAGACACTGAGACACAGATTCCTAGAGACCCACGCTCATTGAGGCCCATTCCAAAACTAAACGATGTTTATGTTACCAGCTAAGGCCCCTCTGAGCGACTGTGTAGGTCTTCGACGTGGCCTAGCGCACGTGACGATAGCAGCTCACACCAAGTGGCTGATATCATCGTCGTCATCATCACCGTGCAGGGATTTCTAGCAGCAGACCAATACTCTCAAGGCATAGAGACACTGAGACACAGATTCCTAGAGACCCACGCTCATTGAGGCCCATTCCAAAACTAAACGATGTTTATGTTACCAGCTAAGGCCCCTCTGAGCGACTGTGTAGGTCTTCGACGTGGCCTAGCGCACGTGACGATAGCAGCTCACACCAAGTGGCTGATATCATCGTCGTCATCATCACCATGCGGGGATTTCTAGCAGCAGACCAATACTCTCAAGGCATAGAGACACTGAGACACAGATTCCTAGAGACCCACGCTCATTGAGGCCCATTCCAAAACTAAACGATGTTTATGTTACCAGCCGTGTAAGGCCCCTATGAGCTACTGTGTAGGTCTTCGACGTGGCCTAGCGCACGTGACGATAGCAGCTCACACCAAGTGGCTGATATCATCATCATCGTTATCATCACCGTGCGGGGATTCATAGCAGCAGACATAGAGACTCAGAGACAGATTAATAGAGATACATAGAGACTCAGAGATACAGAGATACATAGAGATACATAGAAGACACAGATTAATAGAGATACATAGAGACTCAGAGACACAGAGATACATAGAGATACATAAAAGACACAGAGACACAGATTAATAGAGATACATAGAGACTCAGAGATACATAGAGACACAGATACATAGAGATACATAGAAGACAGAGATACATAGAGATACATAGAGATACATAGAGACTCAGAGACACAGAGATACATAGAGACTCAGAGACACAGAGATACATAGAGATACATAGAAGACACAGACACAGATTAATAGAGATACATAGAGACTCAGAGATACATAGAGATACATAGAGATACATAGACACAGATTAATAGAGACACAGAGATACATAGAGACACATAGAGATACATAGAGACACAGAGACACAGATTAATAGAGATACATAGAGACTCAGAGACACAGAGATACATAGATACATAGAGACTCAGAGACTCAGAGATACAGAGATACATAGAGATACATAGAGACACAGAGATACATAGAGACTCAGAGACTCAGAGATACAGAGATACATAGAGATACATAGAGACACAGAGATACATAGAGACTCAGAGACTCAGAGACACAGAGATACATAGAGACTCAGAGACACAGAGATACACAGAGATACATAGATATACACAGAGATACATAGAGACACAGAGACATAGAGATACCTAGAGATACCTAGAGATACATAGATATACATAGAGATACACAGAGATACATAGAGATACATAGAGATACATAGAGACTCAGAGACACAGAGATACATAGAGACTCAGAGACACATAGAGATACATAGAGACTCAGAGACACATAGAGATACATAGAGACTCAGAGACACAGATACATAGATATACACAGAGATACACAGAGATACATAGATATACACAGAGAGACTCAGAGACTAAACTAAGGCCCCATTGAGTATGGGCGGTGCCGGGTTCCTTCATCGGCGCTGCTGCTCGCTACTAACAGCACTTGCCCCGGCAGTCTGTTAAGGGCTACCTGGGGGGCCTTTGTGTTTGGACCGCGTCTCTAACCCCCACGCCCAGCCGGGACGCCGCGGGATAATCACAGTCGCTATTAGCCTGGCCGCAGCTACTCCCGGGCCCCGCTTAAAGTGTGTCACGGTGACGGGGTAGATGTTGACTACCTCGCCTGGTCTACGGGGTAGATGTTGACTGGTCTACGGGGGAGATATTGACTGGTCTACGGGGAGATGTTGACTGGTCTACAAGGGAGATGTTGACTGGTCTACAAGGGAGATGTTGACTGGTCTACGGGGAGATGTTGACTACCTCGCCTGGTATACGGGGGAGATGTTGACTGGTCTACGGGGAGATGTTGACTGGTCTACGGGGAGATGTTGACTGCCTCGCCTGGTCTACGGGGAGATGTTGACTGGTCTACGGGGAGATGTTGACTGGTCTACGGGGAGATGTTGACTGGTCTACGAGGGAGATGTTGACTACCTCGCCTGGTATACGGGGGAGATGTTGACTGGTCTACGGGGAGATGTTGACTGGTCTACGGGGAGATGTTGACTGCCTCGCCTGGTCTACGGGGAGATGTTGACTGGTCTACGGGGAGATGTTGACTGGTCTACGGGGAGATGTTGACTGGTCTACGAGGGAGATGTTGACTACCTCGCCTGGTATACGGGGGAGATGTTGACTGGTCTACGGGGGAGATGTTGACTGGTCTACGAGGGAGATGTTGACTACCTCGCCTGGTATACGAGGGAGATGTTGACTACCTCGCCTGGTCTACGGGGGAGATGTTGACTGGTCTACGAGGGAGATGTTGACTACCTCGCCTGGTATACGAGGGAGATGTTGACTACCTCGCCTGGTCTACGGGGGAGATGTTGACTGGTCTACGAGGGAGATGTTGACTACCTCGCCTGGTCTACGGGGGAGGCGTGCCCGGGACGCCGCGGGATAATCGCCGTCGCTATTAGCCTGGCCGCAGCTACTCCCGGGCCCCGCGTAAAGTGTGTCACGGTGACGGGGGAGATGTTGACTGGTCTACAGGGGAGATGTTGACTGCCTCGCCTGGTCTACGGGGGAGATGTTGACTGGTCTACAGGGGAGATGTTGACTGCCTCGCCTGGTCTCGGAGGGAGATGTTGACTGCCTCGCCTGGTCTACGGGGATATGTTGACTGCCTCGCCTGGTCTACGGGGAGATGTTGACTGGTCTACGAGGGAGATGTTGACTGGTCTACGGGGAGATGTTGACTGCCTCGCCTGGTCTACAGGGGAGATGTTGACTGCCTCGCCTGGTCTACGGGGGAGATGTTGACTACCTCGCCTGGTCTACGGGGGAGATGTTGACTGGTCTAGGGGGGAGATGTTGACTGGTCTACGGGGAGATGTTGACTGCCTCGACTGGTCTACGGGGAGATGTTGACTGGTCTACGGGGAGATGTTGACTACCTCGCCTGGTCTACAGGGGAGATGTTGACTGGTCTACGGGGAGATGTTGACTACCTCGCCTGGTCTACGGGGGAGATGTTGACTGGTCTACGGGGAGATGTTGACTACCTCGCCTGGTCTACGGGGGAGATGTTGACTGGTCTACGGGGAGATGTTGATTGGTCTACGGGGAGATGTTGACTGGTCTACGAGGGAGATGTTGACTGGTCTACGGGGAGATGTTGACTGGTCTACGGGGAGATGTTGACTGCCTCGCCTGGTCTACGAGGGAGATGTTGACTGCCTCGCCTGGTCTACGGGGGAGATGTTGACTGGTCTACGGGGGAGATGTTGACTGGTCTACGGGGGAGATGTTGACTGGTCTACGGGGAGATGTTGACTACCTCGCCTGGTCTACAGGGGAGATGTTGACTGGTCTACGGGGAGATGTTGACTACCTCGCCTGGTCTACGGGGGAGATGTTGACTGGTCTACGGGGAGATGTTGACTACCTCGCCTGGTCTACGGGGGAGATGTTGACTGGTCTACGGGGAGATGTTGATTGGTCTACGGGGAGATGTTGACTGGTCTACGAGGGAGATGTTGACTGGTCTACGAGGGAGATGTTGACTGGTCTACGGGGAGATGTTGACTGGTCTATGGGGGAGATGTTGACTGCCTTGCCTGGTCTACGAGGGAGATGTTGACTACCTCGCCTGGTCTACGAGGGAGATGTTGACTGCCTCGCCTGGTCTACGGGGGAGATGTTGACTACCTCGCCTGGTCTACGGGGGAGATGTTGACTACCTCGCCTGGTCTACGGGAGTTCTTGTGTTCAATCCCGACCTTGAAGCCACGGTGACATTACTATCACCGAGGCAGAGTATAATATTAAGCCGTCATATGATCAGTGACAACTCAACATATTCGTTCATGACAATAACAGTCTGTGTCTGTCTGTGCGTGTCTCTGTGTGTGTCTGTGTGACTCTGTGTGTGTGTGTCTCTGTGCGTGTCTCTGTGTATGTCTCTGTGTGTGTCTTTGTGTGTATCTCTGTGTGTGTCTGCATGTGTGTCTGTGTCTGCGTGTGTCTATGTCTGCATGCTTGTGTCTCTCTGCCTGCGTGCGTGTGTGTCTGTCTGCCTGCGTGCGTGTGTGTCTCTGTGTGTGTGTGTCTCTGTGTGTGTGTCTCTCTGCGTGCGTGTGTGTGTCTCTGCGTGTGTGTGTGTGTCTCTGCGTGTGTGTGTCTCTCTGTGTGTGTGTCTCTCTGCCTGCGTGTGTGTCTCTCTGCGTGCGTGTGTGTCTCTGTCTGCGTGTGTCTCTCTGCGTGCGTGTGTGTGTGTCTCTCTGCCTGCGTGTGTGTGTCTCTCTGCGTGTGTGTGTGTCCCTCTGCGTGCGTGTGTGTGTGTCTCTCTGTGTGTGTCTCTGTCTGCGTGTGTGTCTCTCTGCGTGTGTGTGTGTCTCTCTGCGTGCGCGTGTGTCTCTCTGCGTGCGTGCATGTCTCTCTGCGTGTGTGTGTGTCTCTCTGCGTGTGTGTGTGTCTCTCTGCCTGCGTGCGTGTCTCTCTGCGTGTGTGTGTGTCTCTCTGCGTGCGTGTGTGTGTGTCTCTGCGTGTGTCTCTCTGCGTGTGTGCGTGTCTCTCTGCGTGTGTGTCTGCGTGCGTGTGTGTCTCTGTGTGTGTGTCTCTGCGTGTGTGTGTGTCTCTGTGTGTTTGTCTCTGTGTGTGTGTGTGTCTGTGTGTGTCTGTGTGTGTGTCTCTGCGTGTGTGTGTGTCTGCGTGTGTATGTGTCTCTGTGTGTGTTTGTCTCTCTGTGTGTGTGTCTCTGTGTGTGTGTTTGTCTCTCTGTGTGTGTGTGTCTGTGTGTGTCTGTGTGTGTCTGTGTGTGTGTGTGTCTCTCTGCGTGTGTGTGTCTCTCTGTGTGTGTCTCTCTGCGTGTGTCTCTCTGTGTGTGTCTCTCTGTGTGTGTGTCTCTGTGTGTGTGTGTCTCTCTGTGTGTGTGTCTCTCTGTGTGTGTGTCTCTCTGTGTGTGTGTCTCTGCGTGTGTCTCTCTGCGTGTGTCTCTCTGCCTGTGTGTGGTTGTCTCTCTGTGTGTGTGTCTCTGTGTGTGTGTGTCTGTGTGTGTCTCTCTGTGTGTGTGTCTCTCTGTGTGTGTGTCTCTGCGTGTGTCTCTCTGTGTGTGTCTCTCTGCCTGTGTGTGGTTGTCTCTCTGTGTGTGTGTCTCTGTGTGTGTGTTTGTCTCTCTGTGTGTGTGTGTCTGTGTGTGTCTGTGTGTGTCTGTGTGTGTGTCTGTGTGTGTCTCTGTGTGTGTCTCTCTGTGTGTGTCTCTCTGTGTGTGTCTCTCTGTGTGCGTGTCTGTGTGTGTGTCTCTCTGCGTGCGTGTGTCAGCATTGACGCGCGAGCAGGTTGAGCGTTACGAGAAGGGAATCCAGGAGGAGCCTCGCTACCGCCTGGCCCGCAACTTTGTCAGCGCTCACGACCCGCTCGAGGTGACCGTGGCATCATCGGCATCAGCAGCAGCAGCAGCATCATCAACATCCTCATCAGCAGCAACATCAGCAGCATCATCATCAGCAGCATCATCAACATCATCATCAGCAGCAGCATCATCAGCAGCAGCATCATCAACATCATCAGCAACATCATCATCAGCAGCAGCATCATCAGCAACATCATCATCAACATCATCATCAGCAGCATCATCAACATCATCATCAACATCATCATCGGCATCATTATCGGCATCATCAACATCATCATCAACATCATCATCGGCATCAACATCATCATCAACATCATCATCAACATCATCAACATCATCATCAACATCAACACCATCATCATCATCAACATCAACATCATCATCAGCAGCATCAGCAGCATCATCAGCAACATCATCACCAGCAGCATCATCAGCAAACATCATCATCATCCGCGGCTTTATCGTCATCAGCAGCATCGTCATCATCAGCAGCAGCAGCATCATCCGTGGCATCAGCAGCAGCATCGTCATCATCAGCATCATCATCAGCAGCATCAGAAGCATCAGCAGCATTATCAGCAGCATCATCAACAGGATCGTCATTATCTTTAGCAGCCTCTGTGGGTCTCTGTGTGTCTCTGTGTGTCTCTGTGTGTCTCTGTGGGTCTCTGTGGGTCTCTGTGGGTCTCTGTGGGTCTCTGTGTGTCTCTGTGGGTCTCTGTGTGTCTCTGTGGGTCTCTGTGGGTCTCTGTGGGTCTCTGTGGGTCTCTGTGGGTCTCTGTGTGTCTCTGTGGGTCTCTGTGGGTCTCTGTGGGTCTCTGTGGGTCTCTGTGGGTCTCTGTGTGTCTCTGTGGGTCTCTGTGGGTGTCTCGGTGGGTCTCTATGGGTCTCTGTGGGTCTCTGTGGGACTCTGTGTGTCTCTGTGGGTCTCTGTGGGTGTCTCTGTGGGTCTCTGTGTGTCTCTGTGGGTCTCTGTGGGACTCTGTGAGTCTCTGTGTGTCTGTGTGGGTGTCTCTGTGGGTCTCTGTGGGTCTCTGTGGGTCTCTTTGTGTCTCTGTGGGACTCTGTCTGTGTGTCTCTGTGTGTCTCTGTGGGTCTCTGTGTCTCTGTGTCTCTGTGTGTCTCTGTGAGTCTCTGTGTGTCTCTGTGTGTCTCTGTGGGTCTCTGTGGGTCTCTGTGTGTCTCTGTGGGTATCTGTGGGTGTCTCTGTGGGTCTCTGTGGGTCTCTGTGGGTCTCTTTGTGTCTCTGTGGGACTCTGTCTGTGTGTCTCTGTGTGTGTCTCTGTGTGTCTCTGTGGGTCTCTGTGGGTCTCTGTGGGTGTCTCGGTGGGTCTCTGTGGGTGTCTCTGTGGGTCTCTGTGTGTCTCTGTGGGTCTCTGTGGGACTCTGTGAGTCTCTGTGTGTCTGTGTGGGTGTCTCTGTGGGTCTCTGTGAGTCTCTGTGTGTCTCTGTGTGTCTCTGTGGGTCTCTGTGAGTCTCTGTGTGTCTCTGTGGGTCTCTGTGGGTCTCTGTGGGACTCTGTGGGACTCTGTGAGTCTCTGTGTGTCTCTGTGTGTCTCTGTGAGTCTCTGTGTCTCTGTGTGTCTCTGTGGGTCTCTGTGTGTCTCTGTGGGTCTCTGTGTGTCTCTGTGAGTCTCTGTCTCTGTGTGTCTCTGTGTGTGTCTGTGTGTGTCTGTGTGTGTCTCTGTGTGTCTCTGTGAGTCTCTGTCTTTGTGTGTCTCTGTATGTCTCTGTATGTGTCTCTGTGGGTCTCTGTGGGACTCTGTGAGTCTCTGTCTCTGTGGGTGACTCTGTATGTGTCTCTGTATGTGTCTCTGTGTGTCTCTGTGTGTGTCTCTGTGGGTCTCTGTGAGTCTGTCTCTGTGGGTGACTCTGTGTGTCTCTGTGTGTCTCTGTGTGTCTCTGTCTCTGTGCGTCTCTGTGTGTCTCTGTCTCTGTGGGTGTCTCTGTGTGTCTCTGTGAGTCTCTGTCTCTGTGTGTGTCTCTGTGTGTCTCTGTGAGTCTCTGTCTCTGTGTGTCTCTTTGTCTCTGCGTCTCTGTGTGTCTCTGTGAGTCTCTGTGTAGCTCTGTGAGTCTCTGTGTGTCTCTGTGGGTCTCTGTCTCTGTGGGTGTCTCTGTGGGTCTCTGTGAGTCTCTGTCTCTGTGTGTGTCTCTGTGTGTCTCTGTGAGTCTCTGTCTCTGTGGGTGTCTCTGTGGGTGACTCTGTGTGTCTCTGTGGGTGTCTCTGTGTGTCTCTGTGGGTCTCTGTGGGTGTCTCTGTGTGTGTCTGTGTGTGTCTCTGTGGGTCTCTGTGAGTCTCTGTCTCTGTGTGTGTCTCTGTGTGTCTCTTTCTCTGTGAGTCTCTGTCTCTGTGTGTGTCTCTGTGGGTGTCTCTGTGTGTCTCTGTGTGTGTCTCTTGTGTGTCTCTTTCTCTGTGAGTCTCTGTCTCTGTGGGTGTCTCTGTGTGTCTGTGTGTGTCTCTGTGTGTCTCTTTCTCTGTGAGTCTCTGTGTGTCTCTGTGGGTCTCTTTCTCTGTGAGTCTCTGTGTGTGTCTCTGTGTGTGTCTCTGTGTGTGTCTCTGTGTGTCTCTTTCTCTGTGAGTCTCTGTCTCTGTGTGTGTCTCTGTGTGTGTCTCTGTGTGTCTCTGTGTGTGTCTCTGTGTGTCTTTTTCTCTGTGAGTCTCTGTCTCTGTGTGTGTCTCTGTGTGTCTCTTTCTCTGTGAGTCTCTGTCTCTGTGTGTGTCTCTGTGGGTGTCTCGGTGGGTCTCTGTGGGTGTCTCTGTGGGTCTCTGTGTGTCTCTGTGGGTCTCTGTGGGACTCTGTGAGTCTCTGTGTGTCTGTGTGGGTGTCTCTGTGGGTCTCTGTGAGTCTCTGTGAGTCTCTGTGTGTCTCTGTGGGTCTCTGTGGGTCTCTGTGGGACTCTGTGGGACTCTGTGAGTCTCTGTGTGTCTCTGTGTGTCTCTGTGAGTCTCTGTGTCTCTGTGTGTCTCTGTGGGTCTCTGTGTGTCTCTGTGGGTCTCTGTGTGTCTCTGTGAGTCTCTGTCTCTGTGTGTCTCTGTGTGTGTCTGTGTGTGTCTGTGTGTGTCTCTGTGTGTCTCTGTGAGTCTCTGTCTCTGTGTGTCTCTGTATGTCTCTGTATGTGTCTCTGTGGGTCTCTGTGGGACTCTGTGAGTCTCTGTCTCTGTGGGTGACTCTGTATGTGTCTCTGTATGTGTCTCTGTGTGTCTCTGTGTGTGTCTCTGTGGGTCTCTGTGAGTCTGTCTCTGTGGGTGACTCTGTGTGTCTCTGTGTGTCTCTGTGTGTCTCTGTCTCTGTGCGTCTCTGTGTGTCTCTGTCTCTGTGGGTGTCTCTGTGTGTCTCTGTGAGTCTCTGTCTCTGTGTGTGTCTCTGTGTGTCTCTGTGAGTCTCTGTCTCTGTGTGTCTCTTTGTCTCTGCGTCTCTGTGTGTCTCTGTGAGTCTCTGTGTAGCTCTGTGAGTCTCTGTGTGTCTCTGTGGGTCTCTGTCTCTGTGGGTGTCTCTGTGGGTCTCTGTGAGTCTCTGTCTCTGTGTGTGTCTCTGTGTGTCTCTGTGAGTCTCTGTCTCTGTGGGTGTCTCTGTGGGTGACTCTGTGTGTCTCTGTGGGTGTCTCTGTGTGTCTCTGTGGGTCTCTGTGGGTGTCTCTGTGTGTGTCTGTGTGTGTCTCTGTGGGTCTCTGTGAGTCTCTGTCTCTGTGTGTGTCTCTGTGTGTCTCTTTCTCTGTGAGTCTCTGTCTCTGTGTGTGTCTCTGTGGGTGTCTCTGTGTGTCTCTGTGTGTGTCTCTTGTGTGTCTCTTTCTCTGTGAGTCTCTGTCTCTGTGGGTGTCTCTGTGTGTCTGTGTGTGTCTCTGTGTGTCTCTTTCTCTGTGAGTCTCTGTGTGTCTCTGTGGGTCTCTTTCTCTGTGAGTCTCTGTGTGTGTCTCTGTGTGTGTCTCTGTGTGTGTCTCTGTGTGTCTCTTTCTCTGTGAGTCTCTGTCTCTGTGTGTGTCTCTGTGTGTGTCTCTGTGGGTGTCTCTGTGTGTCTCTGTGTGTGTCTCTGTGTGTCTCTTTCTCTGTGAGTCTCTGTCTCTGTGGGTGTCTCTGTGTGTCTCTGTGTGTGTCTCTGTGTGTCTCTTTCTCTGTGAGTCTCTGTCTCTGTGTGTGTCTCTGTGTGTCTCTGTGTGTGTCTCTGTGTGTCTCTTTCTCTGTGAGTCTCTGTCTCTGTGTGTGTCTCTGTGTGTGTCTCTGTGTGTCTCTGTGTGTGTCTCTGTGTGTCTCTTTCTCTGTGAGTCTCTGTCTCTGTGTGTGTATCTGTGTGTCTCTGTGTGTGTCTCTGTGTGTGTCTCTGTGTGTGTCTCTGTGTGTCTCTGTGTGTGTCTCTTTCTCTGTGAGTCTCTGTCTCTGTGTGTGTCTCTGTGTGTGTCTCTGTGTGTGTCTCTGTGTGTCTCTGTGTGTGTCTCTGTGTGTCTCTGTGTGAGTCTCTGTCTCTGTGTGTGTCTCTGTGTGTCTCTCTGTGTCTCTGTGTGTCTCTGTGTGTGTCTCTGTGTGTCTCTGTGTGTGTGTCTGTCTCTCTGTGTGTCTCTGTGTGTGTCTCTGTCTCTCTGTGTGTCTCTCTGTGTGTGTCTCTGTCTCTCTGTGTGTCTCTCTCTGTGTGTGTCTCTGTGTGTCTCTGTGTGTCTCTGTGTGTGTCTCTGTCTCTCTCTGTGTGTGTCTCTGTGTCTCTCTGTGTGTGTCTCTCTGTGTGTCTCTCTGTGTGTCTCTGTCTCTCTCTGTGTCTCTGTCTCTCTCTGTGTCTCTGTGTGTCTCTGTGTGTCTCTCTGTGTGTGTCTCACTGCACCCACCCACCGCCTCCCCTGCTGTCCCCCGGCCAGGTGTGTGCGGACGCGTCGGTGCTGCGCTCTGCCTGCCACGTCTACGCCCACTGCATCCCCGCCGAGGGCAAGCCCACGAGTAACCAGAAGAACTCCGGTAAGTGCCGGGGGGCACCCCCCCCCCCCCCGCCTGCCCCCCCCCCCCTCCCGGCACGAGGAATGATCATCACCGCCGAGGGCAAGCCCACGAGTAACCGGAAGAACTCTCCGGTAAGTGCCGGGGGGCACCCCCTTCCCGGCACGGGGAATGATCATCACCGCCGGCCGTGTGTGTGTAGGTGTGTGTGTGTGTGTAGGTGGGTGTGTGTAGGTTGTGTGTGTGTAGGTGTGTAGGTGTGTGTGTAGGTGTGTAGGTGTGTGTGTGTGTGTAGGTGTGTGTGTGTGTAGGTGTGTGTGTGTGTAGGTGTGTGTGTGTAGGTGTGTGTGTGTGTAGGTGTGTGTGTGTGTAGGTGTGTGTGTGTAGGTGTGTGTGTGTGTAGGTGTGTGTGTAGGTGTGTGTGTGTGTAGGTGTGTGTGTGTAGGTGTGTGTGTGTAGGTGTGTGTGTGTAGGTGTGTGTAGGTGTGTGTGTGTGTGTAGGTGTGTGTAGGTGTGTGTGTGTGTAGGTGTGTGTGTGGCTAGGTGTGTGTGTAGGTGTGTGTGTGTAGGTGTGTGTGTGTAGGTGTGTAGGTGTGTGTGTGTAGGTGTCGTGGGAAGCGATAGTGTAGCGGTTAGCGCACTGCGCTATGAACCTGGCGACCCGGGTTCGATTCCCGCTCACGGCCAACACCAGTGACGATTATCTGAACCGGTCCCGGGCCTCCCCTAGGTCGACTCAGCCTCAAATGAGTACCTGGTGCGGTGTGTAAACATTGCCACTAGGGAGACAAAGGCGGTCGGGCGTGGTGCTGGCCACCCACCCCCTCGTGTACCGTTCCGGCCTTCATAGGTGCTCGCTAACAGCACTTGCCCCTACAGTCTGTTAAGGCTATACGGGGGATCTTTGATCTTTGTTGTGTGTAGGTGTGTGTGTGTAGGTGTGTGTGTGTAGGAGTGTAGGTGTGTGTGTGTGTGTAGGTGTGTGTGTGTAGGTGTGTGTGTGTAGGTGTGTAGGTGTGTGTGTAGGTGTGTGTGTGTGTGTGTGTAGGTGTGTGTGTAGGTGTGTGTGTGTAGGTGTGTGTAGGTGTAGGTGTGTGTGTAGGTGTATGTGTGTGTAGGTGTATGTGTGTGTAGGTGTGTGTGTATAGGTGTGTGTGTGTAGGTGTGTGTGTGTAGTTGTGTGTGTGTAGGTGTGTGTGTGTGTAGGTGTGTGTGTAGGTGTGTGTGTGTGTGTATATAGGTGTGTAGGTGTGTGTGTGTAGGTGTGTGTGTGTGTGTAGGTGTGTGTGTGTGTAGGTGTGTGTGTGTGTGTGTAGGTGTGTGTGTGTAGGTGTGTGTGTGTGTAGGTGTGTGTGTGTGTGTGGGTGTGTGTGTAGGTGTGTGTGTGTGTAGGTGTGTGTGTGTGTAGGTGTGTGTGTAGGTGTGTGTGTGTAGGTGTGTGTAGGTAGTGTGTGTGTGTAGGTGTGTGTGTGTGTAGGTGTGTGTATGTGTAGGTGTGTGTAGGTGTGTGTAGGTGTGTGTGTAGGTGTGTGTGTGTGTAGGTGTGTGTGTGTGTAGGTGTGTGTGTGTAGGTGTGTGTAGGTGTGTGTGTGTGTAGGTGTGTGTGTGGCTGAGTGCGTGTGTAGGTGTGTGTGTGTAGGGGGCACAGGTGGTGCATCAGCCAGTCATCTCAGTCAGTCGACCCGTGGCACCTGGGTCTGCCCAGTGACCTGCCAGCGGGCGTTCGACACTTCACGTGGCCTCACGGTGCACATAGCCTGGCACAAGCGTCGTGGTGACGTCACCGCCACTTAGTGGCGAATGGCGGTTGTTGTTGTTGTGTGTGTGTGTGTGTGGCTAGGTGTGTGTGTGTGGCTAGGTGTGTGTGTAGGTGTGTGTGTAGGTGTGTGTAGGTGTGTGTGTGGCTGAGTGCGTGTGTAGGTGTGTGTAGGTGTGTGGCTGAGTGCGTGTGTAGGTGTGTGTGTAGGTGTGTGTGTGTAGGTGTGTGTGTGTAGGTGTGTGTGTGGCTAGGTGTGTGTGTGGCTAGGTGTGTGTGTGGCTAGGTGTGTGTGTGGCTAGGTGTGTGTGTAGGTGTGTGTGTGTGTAGGTGTGTGTGTGTGTAGGTGTGTGTGTAGGTGTGTAGGTGTGTGTGTGGCTAGGTGCGTGTGTAGGTGTGTGTGTGTGGCTAGGTGTGTGTGTGTGTGTAGGTGTGTGTGTAGGTGTGTGTGTGTGTGTGTGGCTAGGTGCGTGTGTAGGTGTGTGTGTGTGTGTGTAGGTGTGTGTGTATAGGTGTGCGTGTGGCTGAGTGCGTGTGTAGTGGTGTTGTGGGGAGCGGTAGTGTAGTGGTTAGCGCTACGCTGCGCTATGAACCTGGCGACCCGGGTTCGATTCCCGCTCACGGCCAACACCGGTGACGATTATCTGCACCGGTCCCGGGCCTCCCCTAGGTCGACTCAGCCTCAAATGAGTACCTCGTGCGGTGTGTAAACATTGCCACTAGGGAGACAAAGGCGGTCGGGCGTGGTGCTGGCCACCCACCCCCTCGTGTACCGTTCCGGCCTTCATAGGTGCTCGCTAACAGCACTTGCCCCTACAGTCTGTTACAGGCTATATGGGGGATCTCTGTTTGATCTTTGTGTAGGTGTGTGTGTGTGGCTAGGTGCGTGTGTAGGTGTGTGTGGCTAGGTGTGTGTGTAGGTGTGTGTGTGTGTGGCTAGGTGTGTGTGTAGGTGTGTGTGTGTGTGGCTAGGTGTGTGTGTAGGTGTGTGTGTGTGGCTGAGTGCGTGTGTAGGTGTGTGTGTGTGGCTACCCCTCCCACGTCTCTCCCTGCGTGTCTCCCCCTGTGCCTTCAACATCTCTCCCTGCCTGTCTTTCCCCACTGTGCCCCCCACCGTGCCCCCCACTGTGCCCCCCACCATGCCCCCCACCTCCACAGGGAGGTGCTGGATCTTTGCGTGCCTCAACGTGATGCGGCTTCCCTTCATCAAGAAGTTCAACATCGAGGATTTTGAGTTCAGTCAGACGTATCTCTTCTTCTGGGACAAGGTCACTCCACACACAGACACACACAGACACACACAGACAGACACACAGACACACACACACAGACACACAGACACACACACACACACAGGCACAGGCACACAGACACACACACAGACACTAACACAGACACACACACTCAGACACACACACAGGCACACAGACACACAGGCACAGGCACACAGACACACAGGCACACAGACACACACACAGACACACACACAGGCACAGACACACACAGACACTAACACAGACACACACACACAACAACAACAACAACCGACATTCGCCACTAAGTGGCGGTGACGTCACCACGACGCTTGTGCCAGGCTATGTGCACCCTGAGGCCACGTGAAGTGTCGAACGCCCGCTGGCAGGAGGTCACGGGGCAGACCCAGGTGCCACGGGTCGACTGACTGAGACGACTGGCTGATGCACCACCTGTGCCCCCTACTGTGCCAACCTGCTGTGCTTTAGCCACCTGGCACAGACACACACAGACAAAGCTCCCCCAGGTAGCCTCTAGCAGGGCTGTAGGGGCAAGTGCTGTGAGCTAGCGAGATGGCAGGTAGGCTGCTAATCCTACTGATGTTAATCTCCTACTGATACTACTGTTGCTGATCCTACTGTTACTGATCCTACTGTTGCTGATCCTACTGTTACTGATCCTACTGTCACTGATCCTAGTGATCCTACTGATCCTCCTGCCACTGATCCTACTGATACTACTGTCACTGATACTACTGTCATTGATCCTACTGATCCTACTGCTCCTACTGACACTACTGCTGTTGCTGCAGGTGGAGCGCTGTCACTGATCCTCCTGTCACTGATCCTACTGATCCTACTGTCACTGATCCTACTGATCCTCCTGTCACTGATCCTACTGATCCTCCTGTCACTGATCCTACTGATCCTACTGTCACTGATCCTACTGTCACTGATCCTACTGATCCTCCTGTCACTGATCCTACTGATCCTCCTGTCACTGATCCTACTGATCCTACTGCTCCTACTGATCCTACTGCCACTGATCCTACTGATCCTACTGTCACTGATCCTACTGATCCTACTGATCCTACTGTCACTGGTCCTACTGATCCTACTGTCACTGATCCTACTGCCACTGATCCTACTGATCCTCTTGTCACTGATCCTACTGCTCCTACTGATCCTACTGTCACTGCTGCTGCAGGTGGAGCGCTGTCACTGATCCTACTGTCACTGATCCTACTGATCCTACTGCTCCTACTGATCCTACTGTCACTGATCCTACTGATCCTACTGTCACTGATCCTACTGATCCTACTGATCCTACTGACCCTACTGCTGCTGCTGCAGGTGGAGCGTTGCCACTATTTGCTGCGGGCGCTGGTGGAGACGGCACAGCGTGGGGAGGCTGCTGACGGGCGCCTGCTGCAGTTCCTCCTCTCAAACCCCTGCAATGACGGCGGGCAGTGGCACATGCTGGTCAACCTCATCGGTGGGTGGTACACACTGGGTGGTACACAGTGTGGGTGGTACTGTGGGTGGTACATGCTGGTCAACCTCATCGGTGGGTGGTACTGTGGGTGGTACACACTGTGGGTGGTACATGCTGGTCAACCTCATCGGTGGGTGGTGCACGTTGTGGGTGGTACATCGGTGGGTGGTACACGCTGGTCAACCTCATCGGTGGGTGGTACACAGTGTGGGTGGTACTGTGGGTGGTACACACAGTGTGGGTGGTACACACACACAGTGTGGGTGGTACACACACACACTGTGGGTGGTACACGTTGTGGGTGGTACACACTGTGGGTGGCACTGTGGGTGGTACACACTGGGTGGTACACGTTGTGGGTGGTACACGTTGTGGGTGGTACACACACACACTGTGGGTGGTACACGCTGGTCAACCTCATCGGTGGGTGGTACACGTTATGGGTGGTACATGTTGTGGGTGGTACACACTGTGGGTGGTACACAGTGTGGGTGGTACTGTGGGTGGTACACACACACACACTGTGGGTGGTACACACTGTGGGTGGTACACACTGTGGGTGGTACACAGTGTGGGTGGTACTGTGGGTGGTACACACACACACTGTGGGTGGTACACACTGTGGGTGGTACACACACACACTGTGGGTGGTACACACTGTGGGTGGTACACGTTGTGGGTGGTACACACTGTGGGTGGTACACGTTGTGGGTGGTACACGTTGTGGGTGGTACACGTTGTGGGTGGTACATCGGTGGGTGGTACACACTGTGGGTGGTACACGTTGTGGGTGGTACACGTTGTGGGTGGTACATCGGTGGGTGGTACACACTGTGGGTGGTACACGTTGTGGGTGGTACACACTGTGGGTGGTACACGTTGTGGGTGGTACACACACACAGTGTGGGTGGTACACACTGGGTGGTACATGTTGTGGGTGGTACACGTTGTGGGTGGTACACGTTGTGGGTGGTACACGTTGTGGGTGGTACACACTGTGGGTGGTACACGTTGTGGGTGGTACACACTGTGGGTGGTACACGTTGTGGGTGGTACACGTTGTGGGTGGTACATGTTGTGGGTGGTACACACACACACTGTGGGTGGTACACGTTGTGGGTGGTACACACTGTGGGTGGTACTGTGGGTGGTACACACTGGGTGGTACACGTTGTGGGTGGTACACGTTGTGGGTGGTACACACACACACTGTGGGTGGTACACGCTGGTCAACCTCATCGGTGGGTGGTACACGTTGTGGGTGGTACATGTTGTGGGTGGTACACACACACAGTGTGGGTGGTACACACTGGGTGGTACATGTTGTGGGTGGTACACGTTGTGGGTGGTACACACTGTGGGTGGTACACACACACAGTTTGGGTGGTACACACTGTGGGTGGTACACAGTGTGGGTGGTACACGTTGTGGGTGGTACACGTTGTGGGTGGTACACGTTGTGGGTGGTACACGTTGTGGGTGGTACACACTGTGGGTGGTACACACTGTGGGTGGTACACAGTGTGGGTGGTACACGTTGTGGGTGGTACACACTGTGGGTGGTACATGTTGTGGGTGGTACACGTTGTGGGTGGTACATGCTGGTCAACCTCATCGGTGGGTGGTACACTGTGGGTGGTACACGCTGTGGGTGGTACATCGGTGGGTGGTACATCGGTGGGTGGTACACGTTGTGGGTGGTACACTTTGTGGGTGGTACACACTGTGGGTGGTACACACACACAGTGTGGGTGGTACACACACACACTGTGGGTGGTACACGTTGTGGGTGGTACACACTGTGGGTGGTACTGTGGGTGGTACACACTGGGTGGTACACGTTGTGGGTGGTACACGTTGTGGGTGGTACACACACACACTGTGGGTGGTACACGCTGGTCAACCTCATCGGTGGGTGGTACACGTTGTGGGTGGTACATGTTGTGGGTGGTACACACTGTGGGTGGTACACAGTGTGGGTGGTACTGTGGGTGGTACACACACACACTGTGGGTGGTACACACTGTGGGTGGTACACGTTGTGGGTGGTACACACTGTGGGTGGTACACGTTGTGGGTGGTACACGTTGTGGGTGGTACACGTTGTGGGTGGTACACGTTGTGGGTGGTACACACACACAGTGTGGGTGGTACACACTGGGTGGTACATGTTGTGGGTGGTACACGTTGTGGGTGGTACACGTTGTGGGTGGTACACGTTGTGGGTGGTACACACACACACTGTGGGTGGTACACGTTGTGGGTGGTACACACACACACTGTGGGTGGTACACGTTGTGGGTGGTACACGTTGTGGGTGGTACACGTTGTGGGTGGTACACATTGTGGGTGGTACACACTGTGGGTGGTACACGTTGTGGGTGGTACACACTGTGGGTGGTACACGTTGTGGGTGGTACACGTTGTGGGTGGTACACACTGTGGGTGGTACACGTTGTGGGTGGTACACACTGTGGGTGGTACACGTTGTGGGTGGTACTGTGGGTGGTACACACACACTGTGGTTGGTACACGTTGTGGGTGGTACACACTGTGGGTGGTACACGTTGTGGGTGGTACACGTTGTGGGTGGTACACAGTGTGGGTGGTACACGTTGTGGGTGGTACACAGTGTGGGTGGTACACACTGTGGGTGGTACACGTTGTGGGTGGTACACGTTGTGGGTGGTACACACTGTGGGTGGTACACGTTGTGGGTGGTACACGTTGTGGGTGGTACACACACACTGTGGGTGGTACACGTTGTGGGTGGTACACACACACAGTGTGGGTGGCACATGCTGGTCAATCTCATCGGTGGGTGGTACACGCCGTGGGTGAGTGGGTGGGTGAGTGAACAGGTGCGTGAACGGGTGAATTGATTGGGTGGGTGAGTGGCTGGGTGGGTGAGTGAGTGGGTGGGTGAGTGGGTGGGTGGGTGGGTGAGTGGGTGGGTGGGTGGGTGGGCAGGTGGGTGGGTGAGTGGGTGGGCAGGTGGGTGGGTGAGTGGGTGGGTGGGTGGGTGGGCGGGTGAGTATGAGGGTGGGTGAGCGAGCGTGAATCGTCATTAACGTACACACACCCCCTCCCTCCCTCACCCCCTCCCTCCCTCACCCCCTCCCTCACCCCCTCCCTCACCCCCTCCCTCCCTCACCCCCTCCCTCCCTCACCTCCTCCCTCACCCCCTCCCTCACCCCCTCCCTCACCCCCTCCCTCCCTCACCCCCTCCCTCACTCCCTCCCTCACCCCCTCCCTCACCCCCTCCCTCACCCCCTCCCTCCCTCACCTCCTCCCTCACCCCCTCCCTCACCCCCTCCCTCACCCCCCCCTCCCTCACCCCCTCCCTCACCCACCCACCCACCACCCCCTCCCTCACCCACCCACCACCCACCCACCACCACCACCCCCCCACACACACACACACAGAGAAGTACGGAGTGATGCCCAAGAAGAATTACCCAGAATGCCACACGTCGGAGGCATCGCGGAGAATGAACGAAATCCTCAACCACAAGGTGGGCGGTGTCCAGGCTCCGTCCACTGCTGGAGTTCCCGGCACCAACTGAACCGGTCCTGGGCCTCCCCTAGGTCGACTCGGCCTCAAATGGCCCATCGAGTAGCCAGCGCCGCCGCTGTGGGAGAGACAAAGGCGGCCGGGCGTGGTGGTGCTGGTGGCCGCCCCCCTCTGTGTGTAGCCGCAGTGCCGGTGGCCTTCACAGGCGCTGCTGCTGATGCTGATGCTCGCAGCACTTGGCCCAGCAGTCTGTTGAGGCTATACTGGAGACCTTTGTCTGTGTGGGTGTGTGTGTGTGTGTGTCTGTGTGTGTGTCTGTCTGTGTGTGTGTCAAATAAATAATGTGGGAGCCAGAGGACATCCCTGTCGCACCCCAAGGTGTACAGGGAATGGCTCTGACTCACGTAGTTCGTGAAGCCTTCAATAGCTGTACCGGGGGAATCTCCATACGGTACAGATATAATGGGAGGCTAATCGATGCCCGGGTGCGGTCAAGGGATGACTCCCTATTGCTCAACCACGTTATGTATGCTGATGACTTGGTAATAGCTGCTCAGTCAGAGGAGGAGTTGGAGACGCTGCTGCTGAGACTGGAGCGTGCCACTAAGAGGTGGGGCCTTACCATCAGCCCCACCAAAACTAAGCACCTGCCTGGGTATTTTGTACCATCGGACACTCCACCCCCACAACTCCCAATCGGTGATGGGGCAGTTGTGGAGAGAGTGGAGAGTTTCCCATACCTGGGCAGTGTGCTTATGACTGGCTCCAGTTTAACAGCAGAGGTCTCACTCCGAATCAGTCGAGCGGCAATATCTTTTCATCGGTTGCGTAACGCTGTGTGGAAGCTACCTGGTCTGTCGCTCCGCACTAAGCTTCAGGTCTTCTCGGCCAGGGTCATTCCCTCCCTTCTCTACGCTTGCGAAACGTGGACCCCCCTAATGGAACATCTTCGCCGGTTAGAAACATTTAGGCTGGCCTGCCTACGATCCATCCTGGGTTTAACCAGACTGGATTGTGTGAGGAGCTCACACATCCTTGAAAGATCTGGGCAGGGTCCCATCGGTGAGCTCCTCCGGCAGGCAAGGCTGCGATGGCTGGGTCATGTAGCCCGCATGCCCAGCCACCGCATGCCGAAGCAGCTTTTGTTTGGCCGGATTGAGGGGGCTAAGCGGGCGCGGCACGGGCTAGAGAGGAGATGGAGTGATGTGGTACAGGAGGACGTGGAGCTGAGTGGACTTGCCGATGACTGGTACCAGCGGTGTCAAGATCGGCCTCTGTGGAGGAGGCTCGTGAAGGATGCTACTGGGCAGTTGGAGGAAGTCGCCCTCCAACAACAACGGAGGGCGGAGGAGCGACGCTCACAACAACGAGCGGAGCGCCGGGTGGCTAAAGCACAGCAGGTTGGCACAGTAGGGGGCACAGGTGGTGCATCAGCCAGTCGTCTCAGTCAGTCGACCCGTGGCACCTGCTGGGTCTGCCCCGTGACCTCCTGCCAGCGGGCGTTCGACACTTCACGTGGCCTCAAGGTGGACATAGCCTGGCACAAGCGTCGTGGTGACGTCACCGCCACTTAGTGGCGAATGGCGGTTGTTGTTGTATCTGCGTGTGTGTATCTGTGTGTGTGTGTGTATCTGTGTGTGCCTGTGTGTGCCTGTGTGTGTGTATCTGTGTGTGTGTGTGCATCTGTGTGTGTGCCTGCGTGTGTGCCTGCGTGTGTGTCTGTGTGTCTGTGTGTGTCTGTGGGTGTCTGTGTGTGTCTGTGTGTGTCTGTGTGTCTGTCTGTCGCTGCTGCTGCTACTCACTCCTAACGGCACTTGCCCCGACGGTCTGTTGAGGCTACACGGGGTGGGACCTTTGTATTTGTGTGTGCCGCATGCACAGATGCGGGAGTATTGCCTGCGGCTGAGGAAGATGGTGGACAAGGGCTCGGGAATGGAGGAGATTGATCAGGAGATCGATATTATGGTGGAGGAGGTGGGTACTGGGGTGGGTGGGTGGGTGTTGGGTAGTGGTTGGGGTGTAGGGGTGGGTGGGTATAGGGGTGGGTATAGGGTTGAGTGTGTTGATGTGTCTGTGTGTGTGTGTGTGTCTATGTATGTGTGTCTATGTCTGTGTGTGTGAGTCTATGTGTGTGTGTGTGAGTCTATGTGTCTGTGTGTCTATGTGTCTGTGTGTCTGTCTGTGTGTGTGTGAGGTCTATGTGTCTGTGTGTGTGTGTGTATGTATGTGTGTGTGTGTCTGTGTGTGTCTATGTCTGTGTGTGCCTATGTGTGTGTGTCTATGTGTGTGTGTGTGTGTGTCTATGTCTGTGTGTGTGTCTATGTCTGTGTGTGTATCTGCATGTGTGTCTATGTCTGTGTGTGTGTCTATGTCTGTGTGTGTATGTGTCTATGTCTGTGTGTGTGAGTCTGTGTGTGTGAGTGTGTGTGAGTCTATGTGTCTGTGTGTCTATGTGTCTGTGTGTGTCTGTCTGTGTGTGTCTGTCTGTGTGTGTATGTGTGTGTGTGTCTATGTGTGTGTGTGTCTATGTGTGTCTGTGTGTGTGTCTATGTGTGTCTGTGTGTGTGTCTATGTGTGTCTGTCTGTGTGTGTGTCTATGTGTGTCTATATGTGTGTATGTGTGTGTGTGTCTGTGTGTGTGTCTATGTGTCTGTGTGTGTGTCTATGTGTCTGTGTGTGTGTCTATGTGTCTGTGTGTGTGAATCTGTGTGTGTGTGTCTGTGTGTGTGAGTCTATGTGTGTGTGAGTCTATGTGTGTGTGTCTATGTGTGTGTGTGAGTCTATGTGTGTGTGTGAGTGTCTATGAGTGTATGTGTGTGTGTGTCTATGTGTGTCTATGTGTGTCTATGTGTATGTGTCTGTGTGTGTTTCTGTGTGTGTCTATGTGTGTGTCTAAGTGTGTGTGTCTATGTCTGTGTGTCTGTGTCTGTGTGTGTGTCTATGTCTCTGTGTGTGTCTGCGTGTGTCTGTGTCTGTATGTGTCTGTGTGTGTCTATGTGTGTGTGTCTATGTGTGTGTGTGTGTCTGTGTGTGTCTATGTTTCTGTGTGTGTCTGTGTGTGTGTGTGTCTATGTGTGTGTGTGTCTATGTGTGTGTGTGCGTCTTTGTGTGTGTGTGTCTGTGTGTGTGTATGTGTGTCTATGTGTCTGTGTGTGTCTATGTGTGTGTGTGTGTCTATGTGTGTGTGTGTCTGTGTGTGTCTATGTTTCTGTGTGTGTCTGTGTGTGTCTATGTGTGTGTGTGTGCGTCTTTGTGTGTGTCTATGTGTGTGTGTGTCTGTGTGTGTGTACGTGTGTCTATGTGTCTGTGTGTGTCTATGTGTGTGTGTGTCTATGTGTGTGTGTGTGCGTCTTTGTGTGTGTCTATGTGTGTGTGTGTCTGTGTGTGTGTATGTGTGTCTATGTGTGTGTGTGTCTATGTGTGTGTGTGTCTATGTGTGTGTGTGCGTCTTTGTGTGTGTCTATGTGTGTGTGTGTCTGTGTGTGTGTATGTGTGTCTATGTGTGTGTGTGTCTATGTGTGTGTGTGAGTCTATGTGTGTGTGTCTATGTTTCTGTGTGTGTCTATGTGTGTGTGTGTCTATGTGTGTGTGTGTATGTGTGTCTATGTGTGTGTGTGTCTGTGTGTGTCTATGTGTCTGTGTGTGTCTGTGTGTGTGTCTATGTGTGTGTGTGCGTCTTTGTAGGTGTACCGAGTGGTGAGCATCTGCCTGGGCTGCCCGCCATCATCATTCACGTGGGACTACAAGGACAAAGAGAAGGCCTTCCACAGCCTGGGGCCACTCACGCCGCTACAATTCTACCAGCAGCACGTGAAGCCCCTCTACGACGTGGCCACCAAGGTAAACCACCAGCAACACCACCACAGTGCAACCACCACAGCACCACCACCACCACCACACCACCATCACCACCACCACCACCACCACCACACCACCATCACCACCACCACCACCACAGTACCAGCACCACCACGTCCACCACCACTACCACCACCACTACCACCACTACCACCACTACCACCACCACTACCACCACAGTACCAAGACCACCACCACCACCACAGTACCACCACCACAGCACCACCACACCACCATCACAGCACCACCACCACCACAGCAGCACCATCAGCACCACCACACCACCACCACACCACCACCATCAGCACCACCACCACAGTACCACCACCACCACAGCACCACCAGCACCACAGCACCACCAGCACCACAGCACCAGCACCACCACAGCACCAGCACCACCACCACCACCACCACAGCACCACACACCACAGCACCACACACCACAGCACCAGCACAGCACCACCACCACAGCACCACAACCACAGCACCAGCACCACCACCACCACAGCACCAGCACCACCACAGCACCACAACCACAGCACCACAACCACAGCACCACCACCACCACAGCACCACCACCACAGCACCAGCACCACAGCACCACCATCACACCACCATCACGTCGTCCACCACAGCACCACCACAGCACCACCACTACAGCACCACCACCACCACTACCACCACAGCACCACCATCACCACAGCACTACCATCACCACAGCACCACACCAGCACAGCACCACCACCACACCATCACCACCACATCACCACCACAGCACCACCACAGCAACCACCACCACAGCACCACCACAGCACCACCACCAGCACAGCACCACCACCAGCACAGCACCACCACCACAGCACCACCATCACAGCACCACCACCACAGCACCATCACCACAGCACCACCATCACCACACCACCACCACAGCACCATCACCACAGCACCACCATCACCACCATCACCACACCACCACCACACCACCACCATCACCACAGCACCACCATCACCACACCACCACCACAGCACCATCACCACAGCACCACCATCACCACACCACCACCACACCACCACCACCACCACAGCACCAGCACCACGACCACCACCACACCACCACCACAGCACCACCACCATCACCACACCACCACCATAGCACCACCACCACAGCACCACCACCACCACACCACCACCACCACAGCACCACCACCACACCACACCACCACCACCACCACCACACCACCACCACACCACCACCACAGCACCACCACCATCACCACCACAGCACCGACGCCGGTGGTCTCCGTTCGCCGTAGGTGTGCCTGGTGAACGACCCGCGCCCGCACAACGAGTACGGACGCCTCTACACGGTGGAGTTCCTGGGTAACGTTGTGGGCGGTCACCCCACGCTCTACGTCAATCAGCCTGCACAGCTGCTCAAGAGCCTCGCAGCCGCCTCCATCCGGAGCGGAGAGGTGGGGGGAGTGGTGGGGGGGGAGTGGTGGGGGGGGGGAGTGGTGGGGGGGGGGGGGGGAGAGGTGGTGGTGGGGGGGAGAGGTGGTGGTGGTGGGGGAGAGGTGGTGGTGGTGGGGGAGAGGTGGTGGTGGGGGGGAGAGGTGGTGGTGGTGGGGGAGAGGTGGTGGTGGTGGGGGAGAGGTGGTGGTGGGGGGGAGAGGTGGTGGTGGGGGGGAGAGGTGGTGGTGGGGAGAGGTGGTGGTGGGGGGGAGAGGTGTTGGTGGGGGGGAGAGGTGTTGGTGAGGGGGGAGAGGTGGTGGTGGGGGGGAGAGGTGGTGGTGGTGGGGAGAGGTGGTGGTGGTGGGGGAGAGGTGGTGGTGGTGGGGGAGAGGTGGTGGTGGTGGGGGAGAGGTGGTGGTGGGGGGGAGAGGTGTTGGTGGTGGGGGAGAGGTGGTGGTGGGGGGAGAGGTGGTGGTGGGGGGGAGAGGTGTTGGTGGGGGGGGAGAGGTGTTGGTGGGGGGGAGAGGTGGTGGTGGGGGGGAGAGGTGGTGGTGGTGGGGGAGAGGTGGTGGTGGGGGGGAGAGGTGTTGGTGGGGGGGAGAGGTGGTGGTGGGGGGGAGAGGTGGTGGTGGTGGGGGAGAGGTGGTGGTGGGGGGGGGAGGTGTTGGTGGGGGGGAGAGGTGGTGGTGGGGGGAAGTGGTGGGGGGAAGTGGTGGTGGTAGCCAACTCCTGATTCACATAGCTGCGTCTATAAATACGCTCTCATCCCGTGTCTCTCCACGTGTCTCTCTCCCGTGTCTCTCCCCCCGTGTCTCTCCCCCCGTGTCTCTCCCCCCGTGTCTCCCCTCCCCCCCGTGTCTCTCCCCCCGTCTCTCCCCCCCGTGTCTCCCCTCCCCCCGTGTCTCCCCTCCCCCCGTGTCTCCCCTCCCCCCGTGTCTCCCCTCCCCCCCCGTGTCTCTCTCCCCGTGTCTCCCTCCCCGTGTCTCTCCCCCCGTGTCTCTCCCCCCGTGTCTCCCCCCCCGTGTCTCCCCTCCCCCCCGTGTCTCCCCTCCCCCCGTGTCTCCCCTCCCCCCGTGTCTCCCCTCCCCCCGTGTCTCCCCTCCCCCCCCGTGTCTCTCTCCCCGTGTCTCCCTCCCCGTGTCTCTCCCCCCGTGTCTCTCCCCCCGTGTCTCCCCCCCCGTGTCTCCCCTCCCCCCGTGTCTCCCCTCCCCCCGTGTCTCCCCTCCCCCCGTGTCTCCCCTCCCCCCCCGTGTCTCTCCCCGTGTCTCTCCCCCCGTGTCTCCCCTCCCCCCGTGTCTCCAGGCCGTGTGGTTTGGCTGCGACGTGGGGAAACATTTCCACGGCAAACTGGGCATCCACGACATGAACTTGTGAGACGCACACACACACAGACACACACACAGACACACACACGTACACACACACACGCACACGTACACGCACACACACGTACACACACGTACACACACACACACGCACACACACGCACGCACACGTACACACACAGACACACACGTACACACACACATGCACACACACGTACACACACGCACACACACGTACACACACACACAGACACACACGTACACACACACACGCACACACACGTACACACACACACACGCACACACACACACAGACATACACACACACACAGACACACAAAGATCCACCATATAGCCTTAACAGACTGTAGGGGCAAGTGCTGTTAGCGAGCACCTATGAAGGCCGGAACGGCACACGAGGGGGTGGGTGGCCAGCTACACGCCCGACCGCCTTTGTCTCCCCAGTGACACACAGTGACACACACACAGTGACACACACACAGTGACACAGTGACACACACACAGTGACACAGTGACACACACAGTGACACACACACAATGACACAGTGACACACAGTGACACGCACAGACACACAGTGACACACAGTGACACACACAGTGACACACACACAGTGACACACAGGGACACACACAGGGACACACATAGGGACACACACAGGGACACACACAGGGACACACACAGTGACACACACACAGTGACACACACACAATGACACGTACAGACACACAGGGACACACACAGTGACACACACACAGTGACACGTACAGACACACAGTGACACACAGTGACACACACACACAGACACACACAGGGACACACACAGGGACACACACAGTGACACACACAGTGACACACAGTGACACGCACAGTGACACACGCACAGACACACACAGTGACACACAAACACAATGGCACACAGTGACACACACACAGTGACACAGTGACACACAGTGACACAGTGACACACACAGTGACACGCAAACACAGTGACACACACACAGTGACACAGTCACACACAGTGACATGCACAGACACACAGTGACACACACACAGTGACACAAATCCCCCATATAGCCTTACCAGACTGTAGGGGCAAGTGCTGTTAGCGAGCACCTATGAAGGCCGGAACGGTACACGAGGGGGTGGGTGGCCAGCACCACGCCCGACCGCCTTTGTCTCCCCAGTGGCGATGTTTAAACACCGCACCAGGTACTCATTTGAGGCTGAGTCGACCTAGGGGAGTCCCAGGACCGTACATACACGTATGTACACACATCTATGCGTACACACACACGTACACACGCACACACGCACACACACACTCGTGGTGATGGTGGTGGTGATGGTGGTGGTGATGGTGGTGGTGATGGTGGTGATGGTGGTGATGGTGGTGGTGATGGTGGTGGTGATGGTGGTGGTGATGATGGTGGTGATGGTGGTGATGGTGGTGGTGATGGTGGTGGTGATGGTGGTGGTGATGATGGTGGTGGTGGTGATGG